TGATTCAGCTGGTGCTTACATTGCATCTGGGGCCACCACCATTGGAGACTATCTTGCAAAGTATTCAGAGCACCGAAAAACATTATTATCACATTCTGAATTTACTGGAGCTTCTAAGTATAAGAGAAGTGTCTATAGAACTTGGGAATTATCATATGAAGAAATTCAGAAGAGGGCTGAGTCTGATGATCCTCATAGAGTCAATGCAGCCAATAGTGCAATGCTTCTGCTCAATTTATTTCCTTTCTTTCATTATGAGGGAATCACTGAAGAAATATTTTCCTATGCTGCACTTCAAGGAGGTCAAAAAGCCTCTCACCCTGAATTGCCACTTGCCAGTTCTATGCTGGATCGGAGCCTACTTCCTCTCAAAGAAACAGGTGCTTGGGATAACTTTGTCTTTAGAGAGGGAATTCGAGTATTACTATCATTCTCCTTGATCAAAAAGGGCCCATCTGATTGTGTGTATGCCATGCATCCACTTGTCCATACCTGGGGCAGAGACAGGATATACTTAAATGAGAGGAAACAATGCTGCTTAACAGCATATGTTACTTTGGCTTGTTCACTAACATGGAATGGAGGACAGCCATATGATTTCCAGAGGGCCTTGGTAACACATATAAGAGCAAACATGGAGCAGTCCAGATCAGAAAATAATGAGAATGGTGTCAGTTACCTGGATGATGCTTGTGAAAAGTTTGGGAAGCTTTTGCATAATCAAGGGTACTTCAAGGAGGCAGAAACCTTGAAAAATAAAGTTCTAGATACAAGAAACAGAATTCTTGGAATTGAACACCCAGATACAATCAGAGCCATGGGAAAAATATTCATCGATATGGCTCCGAGAGCCACACGTTCTAGGCTCGAGACCAACCGTTCTGGTGGCGGAAAAAAAAATATGTGATGTGTGGGATCCTTGGGTGCTAATTCTATCCACACTCATTTTTCCCCCACTTTTTCGCACCCAAGGAGAGTGGCAACGAGTCTACACACGTTCCGTATTTGGCCAAACTCGCTAAAGGGACAATAAAATACATGAAAGCTAATATAAAACAATGGTAGTATGTGGGGGACAATGGCAATATATGCCAAGGATTTAGGTATTCAGACTGGTAACGTTACCTGCGCACCAGGTAATGTTACCAGTGGGTTACCAGCGGGTAACGTTTGTCTATGATATATCCTGTATAGTACTCATGTGCCTGAGCTTCTTCAGTCTTCCTCCCCCATTCCCCGGCTGTTTACCCTTTACATTCGGTGAGTGGGCTCGTCTTTCTTGCATGTTGGCTCTGTTTGTCACCTACTTAGTAACTGTACACGGCCCACGCCAAAGGAATGAAGTCCGCTCGCGGCAATGAAGGCGTCTACCGTGAGTGATGACGGGCTCATAGAGCCCCAAGCATCCCTCATGAGAAGTGGAAATCAAGGTATGGTGAACTCCCTGGATGGAGAAGCCTCGGCTGAAAATCTTTCGGGCAGCAGTCATGGCAAATTTGGCCGTGCGGCATCAAGTCCAGCGACAAGACCTCTCGGCTGACAAGACTCCTCAGCCACCGAAATCAAATGCCATCTCATTAGCCCAGATGTTTGAGGGAGTGCTGGACTTAAGAGACAGGGAACTTAGAGGAGTCGATTGATTCGACGGTCGAGGATCTATTCAAGGGAGGGTTTAGGCAGGCCCTCGAGTAAGTTTGTACTCTTTTCCGTCATGTCGGTAGCTAATGATTTTACACGCAGCTAGCTCTACTACTCACTGGCAAATGCCTTTCAAAAGTTACAGCATATTCTCTCACAGTCCCTCCACCACCTTCACGTCTTCCCCTCAGACAAAACATCGGCCGCCATATTTCAATCACTATCTGAGTGAAAGAGTCAAGTTTTCCCCTCCCTGACGTTCGCTCTGCTTCACGTTTCCAACTCCCTTCGCCAGTAATCGCTCCTTTCCACGGGCCCATCCTATCTTCATCCACTTAGCGTGTCCAACTACTGACGAAACAATGTCACCATCGTTTCTCAGGAAGGTCGCCAACTTGGTTGGTCCCCCTTGATGTTGATGCACATATGTAGACACCCGGCATGTGCATGAACCCTCGCTCTGGATCCAAATTCTGATCGGAAAGCTATTCTATCTATCATTCTACGACCCCCAATGTGGCCGCTGGCATTGTCACGCACACCCATATCCCCCTCGCTTTCCTCCTACCAACGACAAACTGCGATATAATTTTGCAAGGTCGCAAATATCCTCTGAAGTGGCACCGCACTACTAGGCCAGTTTCGAGTGCTCCCTGGCACCTCTTCTCGTCGGGCACAGAGTTATTGAATCAACTCACTATTGTCCCGACCGATGTCGATCGTAGGATACGGGTGCACGCTTCTTTGTTCCGGTGCGATGTGGAGGGCAGATCATGAGGCAGGTGAAGGTTAGCTGGGCTGAGGTTCGGATGCGAGAAAGGACGAAAGAGGGTGAAATTCGAGTTGCAAGGGACCGTATCAGCTTCCTCTGTAAACATGAACCGTGCTCGCCATCCAGATCATCCTCTTGGCTAGGCAGACTCCTCGCCCTACTCCGATGGTGGTTCTCCGCAAATCCATCGCATTGCCAACCGACTTTGGGAAGGTGCTCCCAGCCTGAGATGACGACTGGATAATGTCAACGTGTTCTGAAGGTTGAGCAGAAGGAGGTCGAATCAAAGCCATCTTGAGAGGACGGGAGAAGGGAAGGTTGGCTGGGCAGGTGCCCGCTGTGGATATCGTGATTTCGGACGAAGCCTGAGAGGTCTTATACTTCTGAGGGGTAGTGGAAGTGATCGAGCGCGGGCTCTTCCCCATTCAACCGCGATGTACGCGATTGCGGAGAGGTGGGGTAGTGGGGTAGGAGGCCGGACCTTGGAAGACCGCTGGGAAACTGTGCCTCGCATGCCAGATTTGTATTCTCAACTTCTCCGGCAAGATCACTGTCAATGGAGGGTCTTTCTTTGAGTTAATTCGAAGCTAATCAACACTATGCCGTATGGCCCTTCACGTTGGGTTCATGCCTTCAAAACCCAGTGGACCATGCCAAGGTCTCCCAACTTGACGGCGCTTTTTGACCTAGGCTTGGACTGGGCAGCAGGTGTTCATACGAGTTGTATGCATCTTTTCCAACGCAAATACTTTGTAGGCCTTTCCTCAGAGTTTCTCACTGCATGCTGGCGCAAAGGTCATACTCTGCAGTTTATCAACATCCAACCTATCATTCAAATTGACTAAGGAGCATGTCAACTTTTGGCCACCGTGGCGACTTGCATGAGCCTTTCGATCCCAAGACGTTTGAGCGGAGCCCGGCTGAATCAGTTTGGATTAGGTGACGATAAATCGTTGGTCGCTGTTCGTATCACCTAACTCAAACTCACATCAGACGCCCATCCGTCTCTCATTCTGGCGCCATTTCCGCATCATCATCAATTGCAGCTGCCTCGCATGCCGCGTCAACTCGCCTGCCACCCATCAAGGCCTCACCACCGCCAAGCACGTCATACATTCACCTTTCCTAGGCCACATCAACACCTGCTGCGACCTCGACCGCCGGCGCAATGCCTTTTGCGGTCTTTGTCCACACGAAGCTCCCCTCATTGAAACTGCTGGTCTGGTCTCCCCCCATACTGTTCGTGAGCTGAAACGAGGATGGCCCCATATGGATGCGACATACACAAGCTGTGGACAAAAATTGACCTGGCGGCACGTTTGCGATAACCCGAAAGGATATGCATCAAAATGCTTTGGCTGCTGCCAGGGAGGTAGTGCTGTAGGGTATGGGCGGGATGGCGATTACGGGAGTTTGGATGTGGCTGAGAAGGAAGAGGAGACGATGAAGATGATCCGGAGCTTATGCAGCTGACTGAGGAGAGCAGCGTGCGAGACCTCGCGTTGGGCGATTGGGGAAGATATCGGATGGGTGTTGGCTCAGTCCTTCGCTCAGAAGTTGGATGCACTCAGAGTGGTGTTTTATTGAAACGAACAGGGAACTAAAATACACTGCGAGGGACCATGGGCTACACACTAATAGACTACGTGGGCACTGGTTAGACTATAAAACGGAAAAGCTGGGATAAACGTATGAATTGCACAGACTGGCTTTTTAACCGCGATTCGGAGATATAGTGACGGGCAAAGCGTTACGGGGATGGACCATGGGTTCAGATTTGAACTTGTATCAAAAGCCATTCAGCTGCTTTTGCATATGAAGGGAATGACCCCTAATACACAAGAGTCCGGCCTGAATAAGTTTCCCACCAGATAAGTTACAAAAATATAACGTACCTCCATGGTGGACTTTTGCTTTGAGGTTATCCAATCCGACGATGCCCAAAATAGAGGAATTGATCCCACCATGGCCGGTGATCGATACAACTAGAATCAGAGCCGAACGATTAGAATAAGGGAGATAGTTCAAGTTGAAGATACCTACAGTTCTTGTCGTCGTTGTCGTCGTCGAATATCGAGTCCAGAATATCAGTCGCTCGATTGGTAACATCATCGGATGTCTCCTTCGTACCCCAAAGAGGATCGTCGTCAGCAAAGCCGTCCTCCATGGTAAATTTCGGGAACATTTCGCTGATGCATCTCTTCGATCTGCGATGTTCTACTTCGTCTCCCTTACGAGAGACTTGCTCCCGACAATTCTACAAATTTTATCAGCGTCAAATTTACAAAAGGCACTGATTGTACGTACCTCGTGAACGACTGTCTGAATAGTCGGTCCCCCACTAGCGTTAAGCTGCGGGGAGAAAGTGATGCTGTTCGTCACGAGAGCCCTCGCCATGGGGCTAACGTAAGAGATATCTGGGATTCCGATACACTTTCCAGCGTCCAGACTATTCTCCTCCTGCCATTTTGACAGTACGTTGAAGGCTTGGAGATATCCGTCTTGTGTCAGCGGAGAATCCACTGGGAGGAAAAACGTTAGCGCTGTAGATCGGGGGTGGGCATAGAGGAGACGTGCCTAATGGAATGTCCTGAGCCTGTGACCAATTATATGAGGATCTATTCCGATACTTTGCCAATCAGATAGTACGAACCCAGACAGTGTCATTGTCGTCATCCCATTCAGTTAGGCTTGAATCTGAAAGGAAGGCGAATAGGCTGTGTTGCAATCATAAAACGTGCTGTGGTGACTTACTAGTGGCTAACGCATGTCGTCCGAGGAAGATAACTTTGTAGACATCTCCGTCGTCATTGTTATTCAGAGTATCGATGTCACTCCACAGGGTAGACCATCTTGTGTCTTTCGTATCCTTCGTAAACTTGCGGCCAAAATGTTCTAGTACTGGTTGCTAGATTATTGTACAAGTGTCAGAGGCGTCGCAATCTGGAATTTGTAGGAGACTCGCATCGTGAGAAATGCCGTCGTAGGAAAAGTAGTCGCTGTTGCTTTCGTACACCTATGGAGGGACAAGTTTAATCCATCGACTGACCAGAAACAGGAAGAACGCACGGTGTAAGTACTCATTCTGTTGATCGAGTGAGGCGCAACGTCTCGGGCAAGTAACTAGAGCTTTTATATTAGAATCCCTGACTTCGTCTTTCACTTCCGAGTCCAAACTCGTCGCCGAATCCATGGTTACGAGCCAATAGGAGAACGACCGTTTATCTGGAAGATCGACTGGAAGTTCTTCCTGTCAAAACTGAGAATCTTGTTTGAATCGGCGTGCAGATTCCTGTTGCTTGTGTTCTGTAATTGCCTTTTTTCATCGGCTTGCGTCTTATGACCTTATCGATGAGCGCCGACCTCGCTCAGTGTGCACTGTCCTCATGCTATTTCCTGGGTATGTGATACGAAAGAATCAGGACTGAACTGATCGTATGCCTTATGACCTTATCGATGGGCGCCCAACTCACTTCCTTGAACCTCGTTGCAATTCCTGGCGAAAAGGCTGCCATGTTCTATGGGTTGAATGTTGTTAGGCGACGATATTGAAGGAATTCGGGAGCAACGTGCCCGGCGCCAGTTTTCCGACCCTCTAACATGAGGGGACTCGGTTGAGGGTCTGGCGAGGGCTGGAGGGCTAATTTATGCCTCAAATACCGCAGGCACGATAAGGAATGTTTTTGTCGAAGAAAACAGAACCTGAGTCGAAGAAATGCCGTGTACCAACACCCATTTCAAAATAGCGCGAGAACGAGAGACGTATGGGCGTCTGAGGGCCGGCGAACAAGTTGGTATGTGTAAGTTTAATTGAGAAATACACGATAATGTGCTGCAAGAGGGAGCCGGCTGGGTCGATGAGTGCTTGCCAAAAAGGACAAGAAAAAGGATGCCTGAGTGCCAACTGAGTGCAACCTGAGTGAGCGAATTGGAGAGCCAGCCCAATTCTCCCGTCTCACATTTCCATAAAGGGAAATTATTACAAATCAGATAGCATGTGGCACGGTGTAAACTCCTCGACAACAATATGGATGAAAATTCCCCTCCGGTTGTATGCAGCAAGCCAGGTTGTAAACGACATGTCACTGGACCTAAATTCAAACGGTGTGACCCTTGCAACGTTTGCACGCCAGCTCTACCTGACACCTACAGGGCTCACGCCAATGGAATCGAAGTCCGCTGAGGGCGTTGAAGGCGCCTATTGATGAAGGCGGGACTTCGATTGGGATTCATACTACATAGAGCCGTGAGCATCCCTCAAGAGCTTGCAAATTAAGGTATGGAGTAAACTCCCCAAATGCAGAAGCCACGGCTGACAATCTTTTGGTTAGCCGTCATGGCAGCTTGGGCTACTCGGCGTCAAGTTCCAGCACTCGGTCGCTCAAACCAGAATACCTACTTTTTCTCGTTTTCGTCTTCACAATCCCTCCGCCGTCACCATTTTGTCAACCCCCCGACTGTCCAGTTTGTCGTCGAACAAGCAACAGTGTCTGAAGGCGCCAAATTTGCCTTTTGTACTTGTTCCAGCGCCCGTTTTCAAATCTGCAACCAACTTGGTTCTGGGGACAGGGTTATATGGAGGCAGAGTTCGACATGGTAGATTTCCTTCTTCAACACCTCGTTAGCACAGAGGTTTTGAAGGAGTGCTCACAATCAAAAGACGCAGAACTTAGAGCAGTTGATTGACCCGACGGTGGAGAATCTATTTAAAGGAGGGTTTGGGGAGACCCTCGAGTAAGTTGGTCTTCTTTTCCGTCATGTCGGTAGCTAATAATTACACACGCAGCTAGCTCTCCTTCACTTCCTTTCGAAAGTGACAGCATGTTTTCACGCAGTCCCTCTACCACTTTCACCCCTTATACAGACGAAAGCTACCCCCTCTGCATGCAGCGACCGAGGTTCGCGATTTATTTCACTTACTCCGTGGCGTTCGCTCTGCCCCAACACCATTCCACAACTCCCCTTCGCCAGGCATCGCTCGTTTTCGCAGGCCCACCCTACTCTCATCTACTTGGCGTGTCCACCAACTAATGGTGCTGACAAGACAACATCGCTACCCTTCCCCAGGTAGGTCGCCAACCTCGTTAGTCTCTCGTTACGGAATCCTGATACACATATGCAGAAACTCAGCATAAATTCTCTCTTTGCATCGAAGTTCTAATTTGAAAGTTAGTCCACCTATCGTTCTACGAACCCCGATGTGGCCGCTGCCATCGTTATCGCACACCCATATCCACTCCCTCGCTTTCCTCCAACCAACGACAAACTGCAACCTAACTTCGCAAGGAAGCTGACGCCCTTTGAAGTGGCGCTGCGCCACTTGCCTCCCGGTCTCGACTGCTGCCTCACCAGCTCTCCTCGGGCGCAGAGTTCCTGGACCGTCTCACCATTCTCCCTACCGATGTCGATTGCTGGGAGGGCTTTTCACCATACGGGCGCAGGCTTTCTTCGTTCCGGTGCGAGGTGGAGGGCGGATCGTGATGGGGGTGCACGATGGATGGGCCGAAACTCTCTTCTCTCCGATTGTGGGCAAGGTTCGAATGAATCCCCTTGGACATGAGAGGGTGAAAGAGAGTGAAAGTCGAGTTGCAGGGGGGCGGAAGTATCTGGTTTCCCACTCGCTTTCTTGCCTTCTTTCTTTGCAAACCTGAGACAATCACGAGGTTGAGCTTCAATCGACATGAATCATGTTCGCCGTTCAGACCGTCCTCTTCCTAGGGAAAACCCCTCAGCCTACTCCATCGGAAGAGTAGAGGATTTCCGCAAGTCCACCCCATCGGCAACTGGCCCTCCAAGAAAGTACTACTTACCAAATGACGACTGGCTCCGTATCGTCAACATGCTCCGAAGGTTATCTTGAGGAAGGGCGAATCAAAGCCGTTTAAAAAGGACACGAGAAGGGAAGGTTGGTAGGGCAGGATGCGAAGGGGAAGGTGCGCGCTGTGGATGTGGTAATTTTGGACGAAGGCAGAGGCATTATACCGCTGAGAGGTCATGGACGTGATCGAGCGCAGGTTCTGACCCATTCAATCGCTGTGCGTGATTAGTGTCCTTTCCTATAAATCAGTTTGGATTAGGCGAGGATAAATCGTTGGCACAATTCATTGTTCGTATTACTGGGTAATGGTGGCATGGCCCTCTATTATAGTCGGAAATACTGAAAGGGTATATGAACTTCGACTCCAAACCAACGTCCAGCTGACGAGATGAGAGATCGGGCATCGCGTATCAGGCATAGGGTCATCGCGCCGGCAACGAACAGTGCGGATGTATGTTATGGTTGAACCCTACGGGGTCTGAGGGGGCCCTCGTGTCGTCTAGCCCGGCGATCAAGCGAGGTAGGGCTTCGTTTAGAATCATCCGCTTCAGATCCGGATTCCTACTGTACGCGCCTGGGGCGGGGAGTAGACTCGACGTGTTGAAGCCGCCGTCCGGATGTGGGCATGTCCTCATCACAGTGTCCTAAGAAGAACAAAAGGAATGTGGCCCAGAGTTGAGCTTCTTTTGCAGTAAGGAACGGGAATGGGACTCACGATTGTGCCAATCAGACAACTACTGACAGCGTCCAACATATCTCCAACTTGTTGGCTCGTGTAAATTGGTCGATCAAGGGAGTTTCCTCTGCTATTCCAGAGCGATGTCGGGTCCACTGTCTGGAATGTGGGCGAGGGCTGCGATGAAAACAGAGATTGTGAAGAGCCAGACTTATACAGCCGTGGATCTAGTGTAAAATCAGGTGATGCGATGAACGACGATGACGAAGCCGATGACGAGCTCTTCAAGGCGAAATTGAGCAAGAACGACATTAGAAGAAGGGAAATGAGCTCACTGCAGATGATGGACTACATGTTCGCGCAGGGGAAGGGGACATCTTTGTCGGCTCTGGTGAAAATCCATACTGAAAACTCCCATCAAACTGCTGCGGGACTTCGGAAGATAACGATGAGAGGAAATCTGTAAAATCCGCATCGCTTGTTGAATTTGAGCCAAGAATGCCCAAGTTGCCGTTTCCTGTAGGTTCAAGGGAATGGGGAGTGAATGAAGACATCGCCTGGAAAAGAGGATCCGCCGCTGGATCCCATGTGGGAGTAGGTGGGCAATGTACGACATGACTTTGCAGGACGTCGCTGTATTGCCAAAGATGTCAAGCGTGTACCACTGAATGGAGGAAAGAGTCGCACTTACTTCGATGGAAAAGATGCGTTGCAATTTGCACATTGAAAGCTCATGTTGCGTTTGTCTGAGGGCTCGTAGATGAGGGAATCGATGACCAAAGGGCTAAAGAGAAGACAGCTCACGAATATGATAGTGCCTCCTTAAGTTCGATCTCCTCGTGAAGGGAGCATTGCATTGTGGGCAGTGATATGATCCATCAGTGGCGTCGCGGCGCAAAGAGTCTATGTTAACTTCTCGCTTCGAATCCTCCATTGATGTGCCTTGCAATGTTAGATCGTTCGCCAGAATAGTTGAGCAGGAGTCTTTACGAGTGGGGGAGTGAATCCGGATGCTGAGGACTCTCTTGTACTTCAATGGAACTACCGTCTCGGCTTGCCGTAATGCTAAGCGAGACCGATACGGAGGTGATGAAAACCGGATGTTGTGGTGGGGCATGGCAAGATTTGAATGATCACCTATTTTGCGATACTTTCCCACAAAGATTGATTCTACAGTGCGTGTCCGACAGTCCAATTTGGCACACTAACCCCGTTTCGCAGCTCAATGAACCACTTCCGGTGGGATGGGTCATGTCAAGACAAGTCATGCTGTCACATAAGAGGAAACCTCATTATCGTTGCACCGTAAGTCAGCCATGTGCCGCATGGTCAAAGTAGGATGACTGAAAGTAATCCCGGTCATCTAAGCACAGTTGAGCGTCAAAAATCGTTCGGGTGAGGAAGCAAGTTAATTCACCGCAGTCCCTGTAAGATGATAGGCGATGGCTCCAAGTATATGACTCGAATAACGAAAGCCACATTGACGCCTCGCTAAACAACCGCCGCCCGATATGGAGCCCCACCACCCGAGATCGGAATGGGAAAAAGAGGTGGAAGCAGGCTGAGTATTGAGTGAGGTATGGGGGTGGATTGACACGTAGATGGCATTTCAGAGCTGACCAAAACCCGACGTAGTGAAGTGTTTCAAGATAGATCTGATCTGTAAGCAAAGTGAGAATTACGCGGAGGCTCCTCCGCTTATGTTTTTTGGATAGGATAATCTTGATGTAATCTGTCAGTAAGGCGTGCAGGGTGATAAAGTTGATCTTACTTACCGCGAGCGACGCTTCACTTTGATCAGCGACATAGGGAGGCGGATGACAGGCGACGCAAACAAATTGAGCTTCGTGGCCAAGATCGACTCCTATGTATGATGTCAGGGTTTGCTCGAAGGCAATCCTGCCGACGTCGCCCATGCGTGAATTGCAACTTGAAGCAATGCAGCACCATTGATGTTGGCAAAGGTTCCTACTCATATTTAGTTGAGAGGCCACCGTCCGAAAGGTTTAACTAAGCCCGTTTCGCCGGAAAAGCCCACTGAACAAAAAATCGCGGCGCAAGGTAAGCAACAGGAATATGACATTGAAACGGATGACTGACCAGGACCAGTCTACTCTTTGACAAAGGAGAACATTGAGCAATTTCGTCTTCGATGTCGGCTTTTCGAATGTTGCGAAGAGTGACATGCTTGTAAGGTTCAATTTTGGTTCAAAAATTCCCCGATCGAGGCAAGATTTGCTACACTATGCACGTGATGACGAAAAGCCAGCCCAGAAATACATAAATAATTAGGCTCGTGACCAGCCGTTACCTTTCGAACTCCGACGTTCATCTCATCCTTTTCACACTCCGCCATATGTTTGCCACGACAACAATACCACAACAAATAACAGCCAATCACCACCTAAGGACTGGTCGCGAGTCTAATAAATAATAGCAAATACCAGTCTTGCCGTAAACCTTCTATTCCTTGCGCATGCGCATCGCGGTACCGCACAACGCCTCGAAGCGATGGGCGAGCCCAAGGCGAGCCAGATGAAACAACATCTGTCTTCACCCTACAATTGGCTATTCCGGATGAAGACGTTGAAAAGGCCTCGGAAATCATGACAAGAACGGAAAATGGACTCACCCAGACTGGCTTGAACACAAATACATTGACCGTCAACCGACTTGCTATCCAAACTCGTTGCTCTTCGGCTTCTCACATGCCCTGAACTTGTTTCAATCTATCCTCAATCTTACTTTTCGTTCGATTTCCATGACAAAAGATTGCCCGTGGCCTTGGATGGCTTCCCATCGGCCATTCGTTTCCCAACCCGGGCAGCTTTTCTGGTTTGATCATTGCCACCACGCTGGACCCTCCGAATGGATCCCAACCCTGGAAATCTACACAGCAGATGGGGGTCTTTATAAGCCACCTTCTGGTTTACGCCTTGCTGCAAAAACCGCGTGCCCTGCCCTCTAGCAGGGTTGAATCGCCGTATGCAACCCTGATGGCCATCTGAAAAGAAGAAAACGGACATTTGCTTGAGTCTTGCATCCGGGGAATCTTTGAGGGAGGATGCCAGAGGTTAATACACGAAGAGCCATTCTCGAAAAACTGGGGTATCTTTATGTCTTCTGTTATGCGGCATAATAAACTGAATACCATTGTCATAGGTGTCATGTCGAAGCTTCGCGTCCGTTTCATGTCTACACCCCCAGAGCTAGTCAGTCAAGGCAAGTAAACATAGTTTCCGAAAAATCTACCCTCCTGATAACCGACTTAGCAAGACTAAAACAAGAACGCGGGATCTTCCTTCGAAAAGTTTGGACACTACGGCCGTAGTTTAGAGCTACTAGTCTGTGTGGGTCCGTACATTGGCCACGATAAATCGGGGTGGCATGCCAACTTGAAAGTTTCAATAAAACTCGCCTCCCCGCATCCGTATCCAACTCTCCTCACGATTTATGACAAACTTCGTTGCGGGAAGCATTCCTCCTCTAGTTTGCCCAACTTGAAGCATCGGAATTGTTTCAACTATCGTGGTTCCGCGTATTTGCCGTATCGGGCAACTAGACGCCCGCAAACTAAGAGAACAAATTCATACAAAGCTAGCCCTTTCCTGTTGAGCGACACTCAAAAAAAAAAATCAAATAGGCGCCCTATAATCGGAGGGCAAAACGTTAGTAGGACATAATTTAACTCGAACCTAGTAATAAATGTGTGAACAAGTAATTACTGCCTTGGATATATTACAGTGCCTTGCATAATGCTTTGCAGCGTGAATTTTTTGAAATTGTATTTGGCTGTGTTTAAACTGGTCCTGAGATGTCACATTCAGGCTTATTCCGGACAGGGATCATTTCGTTGGGCCTTAGTTGTGACATATCAGGTTCACTACAAATATAATCAAATATGATTTGAAAAAATTCATGCTGCAAAGCATTATGCAAGACACTGTAATAGGGAGACAAAAAGTGGACACACCCGGAATTGAACCGGGGACCGCCCGCATGAAGCACGAAATGCTAAGCGGGCGTGATAACCAACTACACCATGTGCCCGTGAAGATTTGCCCGTATAAGACCTTCTGGAACTTTGCCTGATCTGGGCGCTTTTTATGCCAGTCCATCTTGATACTAATTATTTCCACACGCAAAAATTGGTATCTTACAACGTGTCGTATGAAATTCTATGACATACATTCCTGTACGCACATATGTACGTTCTTCATTGATCCGTTTGCTATAAAGCTAGTCCATCTCTAGATGGGTTCCACACAATTCTATGCCTTGATTTCTTGTTCACTATTCGTTGCCGTCTTATCGGCATCGGTAGGCGGCTTGCGATGCCCAACGACACCGACCCCTTTGAAAAATAGAATAGACAGCAGCGTTCCTTAACAGTGCGCGAAAAGTGAGTTGTCGGATGAGTAAGAGCGAGAAAATGGGAGGACGCACCCAAGATTCCAAACGCAAAGGAAGTCCATTGTGCTGCGCGATAACTTGCGATGTTATCAACGTCAGGACCGTTTCTGCTTGTCACGCGATTGAATACAACGGTGGTTACCGTGATCCCCACCGATGTTCCCAGCTAAAAGGACGACAAAATAATCAACATATGTCGGCCACACTGTTATATGTTCGCACACCTGCGTCATTGTTTGGAAAAGGCCGCCAGCTAGACTCTGCTCGTGCGGAAGAGAAATCTTGGCGATGAAGAGGGTTCCGGCCGCGTATACAAAATCCGCACCCACAACGACGATGGTGGCCGCGGGAAACCCGAAAGCCCAATATGTCATGCGGGTGTCCATCAACGCAAATAAGAGGGAAGCGGCCGCGGTGCAGAGAGTACCAATCGCTGATTTTGATAAGCTCACGTTTTTGTAAGAAATTTACGGATTAGACAGACCTGCGAGGTAGACAAGGGAGATACGGGCCGCCATGACACCAATGAATAGATTACAGAGCATCCCAGAAACGAACATGGGCAAAAATCGGACCACAGTCAAGATGGGGGGAAGGTTTTTGTAATCTTGGTAATATAACTGGTTTCGGAAGGGAATTCCTCAGTAGATAAGTGACGTGACTGGCGACGGTAACATACCTGCGTCCAGAACGTCCAGCCGAGGAAAGAGCACCAATTTAAGAATGCAACAAGCATCATCGCAGCAAACCTTCCATTTCCCCGCTTCCAAAGTGAAATTTTCATCAAAGGCGGAGGCGTGAACACCGAGTAGATGACGTGTGGGCTATCTTGGATTCTTTCAAGATACATCTGCCAACATACGAACAAGACGACCAGAATTACCCCGACGATCAGCAAAGCAATTATGTCTAAATTAGGGAGATAGAGTGGTCAGAAGGAAAGGGGCAAGTGTAAGTGGCGAGACAAAACTTACATGGTGTAGCCCACTGCTTTGGAGCGAGCTCGCCTTGACCGAGCACAAAGACGATTAACACCAGGCCAGCGGTCACAAGCAATGCGCCAAGCCAGTCCACGCGTTGGTCAAGCTCTGGCGAGGGTTCATCTTTGTCGAAAAAAAACAGACCCCCAACAAAGCACAGAAAAACGATCCCAGTCATCAAGTAGAAATTCGACCTCCAAGAATTTCTAGAGCAAAGGTTAGAAGATGATTACCCTCAGCATGACATAAGTAACACACTCCGTGTATTGTGTAAGGACTCCTCCAATCGCAGTACCGAATACTGAACCAATGGGTGCACCAGCTGAAAACGTAGCAAACGCCATCGAACGGGCGCGAGACGGAGGGAAAGTCTCTGCGAGAATGCCTAACTGAAAATGAAATCAGTGGGATGAGCATAATTAATTGAGGTTGACTCGCCGAGGCGGGTATCACGGCCGCAGAGCCAATTCCTTGTATTCCCCGTAGCACCTCGAGCGTCAGCACCTCTAAAACAAGGCGTAAGATAGCTTCACATGAAAGAAAGTAAGATATAGTTACTTGTGGGGAAGGCGCAACCGAGCGTAATGGCGCCCAGGAAAGCGTTTCCAAGCAAGAATACTTTTTTTCTGCCGTAAATATCTGCCAGTCGACCAAAAACCAAGAGAAGGCAACCCTAACACGGTGTCCTTGAATTTATAGTTATAATCATAATGCGACAGACTCACTGAACTCAGGGGGTATGCCGACACAAGCCAAAACAGATTCGCTTGTGGAACGTTGAGGTCTCTTCCTATCGTTGGCAGAGAGATGGAGACAGATGTGCTATTAGCGACCTGTAGTAGGGTCAACATAGTTCTACCATCTTGCAGGCGAGACAGGCTAAAGCATGCTTACATTGACAATCATAGCAAACGTAACTGTAAGTACAACGATCACCTGCTGAACCGTACTCCTCTCCCTGACGGTTTCGGGGGAAGCCAACGATGGGGCTCGAGATAATTGGTCCTGCTTGTTTTCCTCTAATGAATAGCCATCCTCCGTTGCCGACTTTTCTTGACTGTGGCCAGCCATGTCTCGAACGTCGCTCGAATATTCGTGGTGGTCCGAGAGGAAGAAGGGAAGCACCGTGCGGAGGCAAAGGGATACCACCTTCTATCCCCGGCTTTAGATGGATGACTATAGCACGACTCATCGGACCAGCATGCCAGTGAAATCATATAGGGAAATCGAATTAGCGAATGAACAACCGGCCCGTGATTATTGTTTCTTATTGTGCAATATTTGAATCCCAACTTTCAAGCTTCAACGCGTCACTACCTTTGCACTACCTTCACCTTGAAGTTGGATGGTGCCGAAACGGAATCCTGGCGATATTTTTTGAAGCCCGCGACATATTCAAACCGCGTACAAAAAATGTGCAATGAAAAAGAAGCGAGTCGCTGGTCTCCGACGTCAGCGAAGCATTCATTACTACTAACTTTATTCTTACCAACCCACCTGACCTAAGTAGCGCGGCGCAGCTGGTTCAACGGAGTTTCCTAGTGACCGACCTTCAGCATGCACATTTTCGAAAGCCAACTTGAAGTTGAAGTGAAGGAAGTCAAATGACCGTAGGCGACGTCGTCATCCTGGACCCAAGGGCTCCGAAGCGAAAGGGTCAGCGGTTAGGTGAATAGTACTAGACCGCCAGCGTATGTGGCTTATGCTCGCCAAAAGTCCGTAAACGGACTGAGCCGTATCGGTTGTTGGTGCATGCACTCACCTTCAACCTGGTTATCTCAGCCAGGATGCCGCTCCTTTCGGAACTCATACCTTCCCAGCTTGTTCCCAGCGAAGCGGTGAAGCTGCAGAGTATGACCGTTTTCGCCTCAAACTGCGAATTTTTATGCCTTACAGGTGTTGGAGGACTGGTTCAGTCCCAGGGGGGGGGTGATTTCTACTCACCAAAGACTAGATCGCGAGGGCAGGACATTTGCAACTCTCGACTGGTATTGACCCGGATAGGTTGTGCAACATCTAATGATGCAGTTCAATCATCGCGCAGAAGTCGCGGCCACATTTTGGAGCCTCTAACATTTAATCGGTCGCTCGCCGCCCATCGCCTGTTTCATTGTTATCGGAGGACCATCGCTGAGGGAAATATACATGCGTATGCTTAACCAAGCCCAAGGAATTTATGTATTTTATGTATACTAAGCGCAAGTCCGAGCTCGCTTTCTTTACCCGCATGGCCAGAGGTTGAGAGCATGTATACTCCATCGTAATAGGGAGTTAGCTTCCACATTAAACGACAGTCCATTTAGACAACTCGCCGAGGCTCAAATGAAATTCCTCTTTTTTCTTAATCTTGTTTGGTGTTCTTTGCTGTCTTGTCGTGTCTGTCCCACCTACTAAGTTGAACTGGATGCCATCCGAGGCTCTAGCCCGCGGCTTGCGGTACCCAACCACGCCGACGCCCGTAAAAAATGGAATGGACAGCAGCATTCCTATTTGCAAAAGGCGAAGTGTCAGTCATAGAGGGAAAAAAGGAGAAGGGAGCGTGTACCCAGAATTCCGAACGCAAAGGAAGTCCATTGTGCTGCGCGATAACTTGCAATATTATCAACACCAGGACCGTTTCTTCTTGCGACGCGATTGAATACCACAGTGGTTACTGTGATACCGACCGATGTTCCTAACTACAAAGACAAGGGAAAGTCAGTATACGTTACCCGTCCTGTGCATCGGTTTGCATACCTGCGTCATTGTTTGGAAAAGGCCACCGGCTAGACTCTGCTCGTGCGGCAGGGAAATCTTCGCAATATAAAGGGATCCGGCAGCGTAAATAAAATCCGCACCAACAACGACAATTGTGGCGGCGGGGAATCCGAAGGCCCAATATGTCATGTGAGTATCGATCACAGCGAACAACAGAGCACCGGCAGCAGTACACAAAGAACCAATCGCTGATTTTGTTCAGCTCGGGGTTATGGTTGTATTAAAGCGGATGTGCATACCTGCGAGGTATACAAGGGAAATACGAGCCGCCATGATGCCGACAAAGAAGGTACAGACCATTCCAGATACGAACATTGGCAAGAATCGAACCACACTTAGAACGGGGCTTAGGTTCTTGTAGTCTTGGTAGTAGATCTGGTTGTTGGGGTAAAATCATGAGAGGCACTATTTCACCAGAGATAGCAACATACTTGCGCCCAAAACATCCAGCTAAGGAAGGAACACGAGTTCAAGAAAGCGACGAGCATCATTGCAGCGAACCTTCCATTTGCCCGCTTCCAAAGTGAAGGTTTCATTAGGGGCGGAGGCGTGAACACCGAGTAGGTGGAGTGTGGGTTTTCTTGGACTCTCTCAAGGTATACCTGCCAAAATACGAACAAGACGACCAGAATCACCCCGACAATCAGCAAAGCAATTATGTCTAAATTGAGAGGATAGAGCGGTTAGAAGGGAAACAGAAAGATCTAAGCCGCTACGCACAGGGTGTAGCCCACTGTTTTGGGGCGAGCTCGCCTTGACTGAGCACAAAGACGATCAAGACTAAGCCTGCGGTGACAAGGAATGCGCCAAGCCAGTCCACACGTTGGTCAATCTCTGTTGAAGGTTTGTCCTTGTCGAAGGAAATCAAGCCTCCCATGAAACACAGAAAATCAATCCCAGACATTAGATAGAAAATAGACCGCCAGGACTTTCTGATACGAAATTCAGAATTTGCACAACCTCAGCAAAACTAAAAAGCTACTCACTCTGTGTATTCCGCAAGGACTCCTCCCAAGGCCGTCCCTAATACGGAACCGATGGGTGCGCCCGCTGAGAAAGTAGCAAATGCCATTGAACGAGCGCGAGATGGAGGGAAGGCGTTCGCTAGGATGCCTAACTGAAGAAGAGATCAGTGGGACGGCTCCCAATAGATTGATTGAAATGGACTCACCGAAGCGGGTATCATGGCTGCAGAGCCGATTCCCTGTACTCCTCGTAGTACCTCCAGTGTCAACGCCTCTGGATTCAGAAATTAAATATCTGCGGTTGGAGGGAGTTAATATTTACTCATTGGGAAAGCACATCCAAGCGTCACGGCACCCATAAAGGCTGTTCCGAGCAGGAACACTTTCTTCCTGCCATAAATATCTGCAAGACGACCAAAGACTAATAAAAGGCACCCCTAAACCAGTGTGTTTTAGATGGTAACTGTAGTGATAAAAAATGGACCCACTGCGCTCAAGGGGTAAGCTGATAATAACCACTCAAGACCGGCTTGTGGAACGTCTAAGTCTCTTCCAATCGTCGGCATCGAGATGGACACGGACGTGGTGTTGGCAACCTGAACCAAAATTTAGCGGAGCTCTCTAGCCCAACCCAGCCTACTGATCACATAAAAAAGCATTCTCACATTGATAATCATGGCGAACGTAACTGTTAGGACGATGACCATCTGTCGGACTTTACTTGTCTCCTCGATGGTAGGTTGGGCAATCTCCAACGGCGATGTTCGAGCGATGAGCCATCGCTTGTTATATTCCAAAGGATAGTCATCGTCTGTTGCAAACTTTTCTTGACTGTGGCCTGCCATATCTTCAAGACGTCGTTGATTTGAAAATTCGCGGGTCCTTCAGGATGGTTGGGATTAAGAAGGGGGTCGAGAAGCACCACGCGGAAGACAAGGAACGCCGCCGCCTGCTTTGAAGACATGGCACGACTATGGCACAACCCACCAAACCAGCATTCTGAGATCATGAGCCGATAGGAATGCGAAGTGATGCCGAACATGATCCAGCCCTTGTATATTTTATGTTATTTGTTGTCCCGCGACACAGTAGCATAGCGAGTGCCGCTTTCGCATCTGTACTTATTGTCGATAGGCTTCGAGGAGAACAGTTCAGATTTTATTGTAGCCGTTACTAGATCATACTGTTTCGTTGAAGCACGCATATGAGCTTTCGCAGAGGGGATGGCCATGCTGTTCGCAGCGCTCGTGTCACAGAAGTTGAGTATGGACCGGGGTTAGTGGACAGCAAAGGCCCGCAAGTTGTGCTCTTTGGACGATGTCAAGAGCAAATATCTTGGCCAGTTGAGGTGGCCTAAAGTTGCCCTCGAAGAGGCCATTTCAGCTCTGGATTGTCTTCCTCGGGAGGGTACAGTCCGAACCTCGTGACTGGCATGAAAAACCAGTATTCGAAACTATCGCAGGCGTTTTACAAGTGCTGAATGCGTCAATAGAAAGCCGACTCGAGGCACAAGTTCAGTAAGCCACACACGTCAAACGCGAAGGTGAATCCTAATGCACGCCTATCGTCGTCCAGATTGCTTAAATGCTGTCCAGCTTTTCTAGAAAATCGTCCAAGGTTCGAACACCCTCAGACTGTATTGATTCGGGTCTCCGAAAGGCGTCACGAGGCCCCAATCATCAATGTCCATGCCAAGATACGAAAAGGTTCCCGAACTCCGAAAGGCCGCAAGATACGTTTCATGGAGCTCAGCTCTTTCTTTGAAATCAGCCCAAATGTAGAAGTGTCTTGATCCAGTACTTCGACTTTGGCAATCGCTGCGGCCTTGACATCTCCCTCCTACAAGGCTACACCTGAGCGGCCGGGCTCGAATCGTTCAACCAAAATTTCAATGAACGCCATTGATCTCCGCCTTCAGGAGTCGCGCTTTCGCAGCGGCGTCCATAACTGATACTGTGGTTGCTTGTGGCTGAGGCAAGGCTGAGGTTGGAAAATCTGCAGAATTTGTGCAGAATGTCCGCTCAGAGAAATGTAGTGGTTATCAATGCTGACAAGTTTGCGTAACGGTTCGTCCGATTGAAGGTAATTATGAGACTATTAAGCACTCGGCCGTAGAGATGAGAGACTGGAGACTGTTGGGAGACTGGGCCTGTGGAAGGTACAAAATATTAAATAAATAATTGTCAACTCACCACTTCGTCGCTGCCATCAGCGACCTCGGCATCGTCGCCTGAACAGTTGAACATTGAACTCCGGGGCCTGAAGGATTCAATCCTCCCATTCGAACTCACCTTGTTCACGAATCATCATCCATGGCAGTCAGCGCTCAGCACTGTGACGCTGACCAGTACTTACCACCATGATGAGCTCCAAAATAAATCGACTCTCTACCTCGTCTTAACACTTCTCTCACCATGAGCTCAGGGGAGGTGAAGATGGTATTTTTACGCTCAGTTCCTAAGCCTTGCACGCGCGTTTGCAGGCTGGGCCAACTCATTACTCGTATACAAAAAGTGTTGCATTTGGCAAGGTCCGTAACGTCGTATACTTCTCTTTCCGTCCCTGAAGTTGATATTTCATCTCAGCAGTGGGGCAGAATGCGCAGCAGGGGCGCATAACAACCGACCGACTATTGGCCGACGTTGGCATGTTATTTAATTTTAGACGAGAGGCTGCGTTTCAGCGGTAGCCGTGTATGCCCGCTCTTCTGCAAAGCATCTTGGAGACTGGAGCGCACCGACACAGAGCTGCGTTTCTGATACCAAGGCCCAAAGCACCATGCATCATGCAGAAATCCTGCGCTTCAGAAAAAGGACTATCTGCATCTCCGTCCTGTTGATGCTGTTCATCTCTGACTTCCTGCTCCATCAGTACAACACCACCGTCATTGTAGACGATATCCCACCCACCTCCGAGTTGAAAAACCATGGGAATGGAAACGTGACTCGCGTCCTACTCGTCTCGGCGCTCTTCCCCCTCACCAAGTCAAAGCACTCAAATGATGAATACAACGACTGGCTCCAACGTTTTCTAGGACCCATCACAACGGACATATACTTCTACACCACTCCAGAACTCGAAAATACTGTCCGAGCTGCTCGAGGTTCCGGTCTTCCCATCACTATCAACACCCATTACGCATCTCCATTCGCCATCCCCCCTCTACGTGGCTTTGAACCACTGTATGAGGAGATGCATTTACAGGACAGGGAGAAAAAGCGACATTCTCCCGAATTGTATGCCGTGTGGAACGGCAAACCCTGGTTCTTGGACCACGCTGTTCAGCAGTCAAGGGAAGAGAAAGGAGAGGTGTATGACTATGCTTTTTGGATCGACGCAGGGAGTTTTAGGCAGGAGCATTGGTATACTTCTTGGCCGAATCCAGCAAGGGTTGAGCAGGTTTGGGAGGAGGGAAGGAGGTTGAATGGCGTCAAGAGGAAGGAAGATTTGTTGTTCTTTCCCATTCAGACACTACCACCAGCTTCCGCACGGGATTGGATGCAGGATAAAGGACCGCTTGACGTCGATTTCAGCGAAGGTACGCAGTTTCTCTTTTAATAATCCTGGATAGTCCAACTTAAATCGTCTTTCTCTTATTAGGATCCTTCTTCGGCGGCTCACCAGCCTCCATATCCTGGTGGTCCACTGCGTATTACGCGTACCACAACTACTACCTCACCCTCGGCCTCTTCGTAGGCAAAGACCAAACTCTCATCAACGCCCTTTTCCTCCTCTTCCCTGACCGTTTCATCACAGTATGGATGTACGACCCCATCGCCCCCGCCCATGCTGGTCTCTTACCCATCCTCGACCAGGGTTACCTAGGATCCTGCGGTTCCGAGTGGTACTACTACCAATTTTGGTTGGCGGGTGAACGGACGCGGGCGGAGATGCGTGAACTTTGGCTTGGGTGGTTGAGGTGGAAGGAGTGGACGTGGTGGAGGGAGAGGTAGAGGTGTCGTGTCACACGTGTCTTGGGGATGAAGCGTGCGTTGGAGAGGAGGTTTGGGTTTGGGTGGACACCGCCTTTCCCCCAAGTTGCGCCTTCGGCTCGGGGATGAGGAGAGTCGACCCTTAGTTTGAGTCCAAAACTCCATGGTTCGCGCCAACCATCGCGTGTTGGGTGACTCTCAAGCCCAGTCGACCCCAGTTTGACCCTCACCGGCAGGCTTCACTAAGACGATTTTCGAACTAGTCAATCGCAAAAGTGGATGGCTTTGTGGGACTTACAATCAACTTACAATCCAACGAAGTCTTTCGTCCTTGGTCCCAACAGTGGCGCCCCAAGCCGTTCGAATTAGGCAAGTGGGCAACGTATGCGAGCCCCTCTTGCACGTCACTCGGGTTCAAGCTGGTAAAATATAGTTTATATGATTGTACATACAAGTCCAGGGGTAACTATGTGCAATGATTATCTAGGATCCACAAGGAGTGTGTAACGATGAGAAGCAAATGGGGTGTGTAACGATGAGCAGCAAATGGGGTAGAAGAGCGAATGGTATCAAGATTTATATGACTTCCCTGCCTGTAGACTGTTCTACGGCTTGAAAAGTCCGCTACAATCAATGTCGAAGGGTTCCTCAGTCGAGGGTGGTATCCGCAGTAGCCGCTTTATCACTCCATGACGTGCATCGCAAGGCCAATGCCAAGCACGGCCATTATGGTGCCGTAAAGAGACCGTAGGCCGTCTGTAGCCGCACTTGACGTTGATGTGGATGTGGACGTGGTCGGCACTGAAGAAGTAGTTGTGGGTGTGGTGGTGGTGGCGGGCACGGTGGAAGACGACGAAGAAGAGGAAGATGGTATCGAAGTTATAGAGAAAGAGAGCGAGGGTTTTGAAGAGGCGATGTTGCAAAACTGTTGGGCAAGGGCTTCTGCGCTGCTAAGCTCTGCAGGACATCCTTGTGCAATACATCCCGTAAGACTCTGTGTGAAATTTGTGCTGTTACGGTCGTGGTCAATATAAAGGTCGGGTGTTAGGTGGGTGGTAGCGCACCTAATGCAGAAGCAATTCACATCGACGACGCTGGTGCAATTGGCTGCTGAACTTCCCAGTGCCAAGCATTGCGACACTTTTTTACAATGAGAACAACTTGGAGCTCGCTGGTGAGTCCACTCACCACATGACGAATACCCGCTCAAACTGGGGAACTGCGCACTGCTTGTCGGGGTACCCGTTGTTGTTGAGTTACTAGCGCTGGCGCTGGTGCTGGAGCTTGCACCACTCGGCGCCGTTGCCGTTGAGGACAGTGTTGGGAACGTCGATGGCGGAACTAGCGTTGCTGACCCCCATGCTGTCGACGTCAATTGGCAGACGATGAGCAAAAGGATGGGGAGCATCGTTCAGCAACGTTTTTCAGGCGGTAACTTGGAAGAGCTTGACAACAGTTGCAAATACTATCACGGTGTCAACCGATCGACCTCGATGCCGACATTCAACCGCATGTTTGCTGCGAACATGAATTCTTTGAATAGAACACGGGAACCAACGGCAGAAGTGATTACCCCGTCATGAGATCAAGGGGCAACCACCCGAGCATCCGGTTGGGTCAACTGGTCCCATCGGGGTCGTGGGATTTAGCCTGATTTGACACGTGCATCCAAATGTCACAGTAGTACATAGATCAGTTGGGCACGTTCACAACTTTCTTTCTACGTTTCCCCGATGGCTCGACAAGGCTCAATGTCTGCGCCCTGTCTCTCTTCAGCTCCTCTTTCATGATCTCAATGCCATCACTGTTCAGGATCCCATGTTCCTCACGAGCCTCCGTGGTTAATTGTGCGTCCACTTTCAAGAATTCCTCCTCCTCTCGCGTCAAAAACATGTCGATTGACATCTGTCCAGGAATCTTGGGAAGCTTCTGGTCATTAGCATCAGGACCCATGTCAAGAGAACCCTGTGCATGCTCGGTAAGCAGATGAAAAATAGTGTTATATTCCCAGATTGTCCTCCGTTCTCCCGATATTGCGAGTGGAGGACATAACTGATAATAAATTGGCACGTTAGTGCAGGGATTTGGCTTTGACGGTTCAAACGTTCAAGCACAGCCTTGTATTGCATTTTTTCATAATGGTATGTGCACGTCGATGTCGTGGATTTGCTGTTGTCGTCAGAGAAATGTCCGTACTGCAAAGATCATATTGAATACTGTGCTTCCCATTAATATTATTGATTGTGGTTGTTATCCTAGGAGTGCCAGGGAGTTGAATTTCCTTTGGATCTTCAGCTGTGGGTCGAGGTTTTGGCATTTCTTTCAGTGAGAATGGGGGGAAGGAACAACAAATCGATTGAAAAGCCTGTCTACGGTAAAAACACAACATGCAAGGCAGATATTTTATGTGTTATGGTAAGGGTCTTCAATTGAATCTGTGGAGCGCGTTGAAGCAACGTTGAAGGCGCGTGCTAAATGAGCGCGGGCGTGACAATCATTTTGGGATTGCACGTGTTGACTCCCACGACCCCGATGGGACCAGTTGTCCTAACCGGATGCTCGGGTGGTTGCCCCTTGCATGAGATCTAATTTTGCTGTCGAAATTGACTACCTTTCCAGTTGACATCACGATGATTTACAACAAAAGTCAACTGGTTAGCCCCTACCTGGTTGGGGTTGTACTCTTCAAGGAGGAAAACTCGAAAGTAGTGACGGTGAGGCAGGGGGTATATGAATCGCGTTCCACTCATAAGATCTTACAGGGAGTTTGTTTCTGTACTAACCCCAGGTTATAAGCCGCGTTCTTTCAATAAAACATGTCCTCCGGTAGAGCCGAATCCACTTGCACCGCGAAGAGTTTCGTCAAGGTCCTACATCCCAAACAATTTATTTTGAGTGTCGCGTCAACGCCGTCAACCAAAGGGAACTTCAACAGAAAGGCTTACAGCAACTTCAAGGACCTCGGGGTTATAGATTTTCTCGAGAATGAGTTGCGCCACCCGGTCACCTTCTTCCACTGAAAACGAATGCTCCAAATAAATTTCAAACGATAATAATAGGGGGAAGAAATAAAGATACCTTGGAAATCCTTGTCTGATAGATTATACAACAGGACGAAGACGACGCCACGGTAATCGGCATCGATTACCCCAGCTCCAGTGGCAATCATAAATTTTGACGCTGAAAATTGGGATTGAATTGACTGTACTTTTGTTTTAAATAAAGGAAAGGACGCTACCTAGACCACTTCGAGGCGCGACGCGTCCATAGGTTCCGATCGGCACGGCGATCGAAATTTGTGTGTCAATCAGTGCTTTCCCGTGTGCGGGGACTATTTTTTTCTCCGCGCTGGAATTGAAGTGAAGTGAAGGAAACAAAAAACGCGCAAGTTGGAAGGACATGATATACCTATACAGATCATAGCCAGCAGCCAGTGGCGAGCCACGCGTTGGAAGCTTGGCTTTCTGTGACAGACGTTTGACAAGAAGGGGGGAACTGATGTGAATACTAGAATCTGTGGGTGACATGCCTTGTCGATGTTGTAAGGCGCGACGGTGGTGAGAGGTTGGTGACAGGGGGCTGGAGACGCGTGGCTGAGTTCAAAGCGTGTAAACTCCGAATTTGGATCGATCATCGGTGTGGCCAATCACTTCAACTTGGAAGTCGACAGCCTCCTCTCTTCGCCTTCAATTGCTCTTCACCGGCATCAAGTTTCGGAACAAATCTCACCGCAATAAGTATTTCTATACACCCCAGCGCTCATCATACTTGGAGTCCCAACGAAGCTTCACCAGCCCCGTTAACGTTCCATGAGTTTTTCAGATCTGCCGTTGGAGCTCGTCCAACGGATCTGCGACTACTATGTCACCGAGGTCGGTGACAAACTCTCTTTTCCGGAATCTTGCTGAACTACATGGTAATAACCCTAGTTCCGTGAAGCGCCTATGGATGACGAGCGCTTTCACTGTTGGCCTGGCGATCTACGAACGATATGTAGGAAATTTGACAACGCCATTCAGCCACTAATATTCGAAAGAATTACGTTCAACTTTCGGGCGGAGCAATTCTATGGGATTGAGACCCAGGTGAAAGATCTTGCCAGCTCCCAATGCCCAGCTCATTTATTTACGAAATGTCTTCACATCTATGCCCTCCGGGATCTCCGGTTTACGCCTGACACGTTCCATGGAAGCGGCCAGCTCGGCTCTTCGTTGACATCGCCCTGTTTCGAGGAGTTGCTCACAAAAGCCATAAGGAACCTTAAAAATTTGCGAAGTCTGTTGTAAGTGATTGGCTTACTACATTGTTCATGCACTCACAATATCCAACCAGTTGGCGCATTTGGGACGAGTACCCAGTTCCTTTGGTCATCGATGCACTCCTCTCGCTTGAATCTCTTACGAGTGTCAGTATCAGATATCCTGACCTTCATCTCTCCGGCTTCCCAACATTTTCTTTTTCAAACCTCACCCACTTTTCTTTATCGGTTGGAAGTCCAAACTACCCCGGGGCGCGCACTGAGCCGGACACCATTATTGAACAAAGGGATTCGTTGCTGCGACAACTCGAAGATCTTGTGCTCAGGAGTCCTAACCTCGCCCGCCTCTCTGTATCACTGGATGAACGGTTTTGGCACCCTGTTACAACATTCCTATTGACCGGAACTCTCGAGTCGGCTACTCAACTCGAAATCCTCAAGCTACGCGGAGTCCAGATCTCATCGGCCAACCCCATAAACACTCACAAGCTTTCCACCTTGACTATAACATCGTGTGGGGCACCATCGTATACAGCTCTCTTGGATCAACTAATGGATACCAATGTTCATCTGCGAGTTTTGAAATGCGGAATGGTCACTAAAGCTTTGATCAATTATATAAATTCATATTCAGGCGTCGAGAAGTTGTCTTTGGAGCTAGCGGAAATTTTCTATGACGATGAAGACGGTGACGAAGCGGGGGATCAGGAGACTTTACCCACCCCTGGGGTTTCAACCTCTGGTGTAAGAACCCCGAATGGACGGCTTTCGGGTAAATTTGGATCGATCCTTCAGAAACACCAGGATACTCTGGCAGAACTTTCAGTCAGGGTTCCCTACGGAGGCCCATGGTGCGTTACGAACCAATGGGCAGACGCTTTAGTCTCCTGTGTGAAGCTTGTTTATCTTGGAATCACACTTCCCTCTGAACGTTTGTGCGATTTTTCGCAGGATGACGATACCACCATCGGTGTTGTACATGTCGTGAGTTGTGTTGTTTCTCAGCCCCGACCTCAGTTAACGAGAGAACAAAAATTGGCAGAAGAACATTATTACTACGTGTTCAACCCATCTGAGAGCGCTCAAGCATCTCAGAATATTTTCCTCCAACGTTCCTGGTTTTCGTGACCGTTATCGGCGTCGTCGTGTGTCAGCGCAAATCGAAGATATGATATCCCGCACTATATGCGAACTGGAGATACCGGACCCAGCAGTGTACTCATTTCAAATTCGGAAAGGATGTAGGGTTTACGAAGTCCAGAAGGGTGACGAAGCGGTTTATCGGTACTGTGAAAGGAGACTGGATCCACAGCTGGTCTCCAATCAATCAGATTCTGAGTCTGATTATGATCTATAATCTTGCCATTTGGTGCTTTATTTTTGTAGGATTTTGCTGAACGGGGTAGCTATTACTTGTCGGCATTAAGTTGCGAGGGGCATCGGTATTGCTTGGGTGTTCGTTTGGTCGCTAATACCTCTTAAATACTTCACCCGAGAAAGTCGCTTACTTAGATTTCATGTCGTAGATAGGTAGTCAATTGTAACAATTGTAACAAGGGATGTGGGCGGGTAGAGACTAAGACTAAGGACACGCCCGTGCGCGTGATCGGTTTGCTTCGGATATTCGGATCTGGACTCCGAACAACACCATCATCGTCGAGCCATATTCAAAATTTCAAATTCAAAATCTGAGCAACATGCACCGTCGGAATCGTCATGTTCTAACACCCTTATGGCGCTCGTATGGGCCTTCCACGTAGTGTTTTTCAGTTGAACGCTGACGTGGTAGGTCAACATGAAGGTTTTCCACAACATCGAGGGTTTCTGGTTCCAAAGAACCTCCCTTGGCTGGCATCCGGGTGCTAGAAATGGGACAGTTGATTGCAGGTCCGTTTGCTGGGCAATTGCTGGGGTAGGTTCAAGTCCTGTATATCCACTTTTGTATCACTCACAGATGGCAGTCAATTTGGAGCAGAGGTCATCAAAATTGAACCACCGGGTGTAGGAGATCCGCTTCGTGTCTGGAGGGAACTGGATGTTGACGGCACAAGCCCATGGTTTAGAAGTATCGCAAGGAATAAGAAAAGCGTCGCTATCGATCTTCGCAAGCCAGCAGGCCGAGAGTAAGCTAAACTTGACCGTAGGACCACGCGCCACACCTCATCAATTCTTTTTCCTTAGACTGGTAAAGCAACTTGCTATCAAAAGCGATGTGATGATCGAGAATTTTAAGCCTGGCAGTAGGTTACCTTCTTGTGTTAGACGTCTTGACCGCTGAGCTTCATACATATTTCAGCGCTTGAGAAATGGAACCTGGCTCCTGCCGATCTTCATCCTTTGAACCCTTCCTTGATTTATACCCGTGTAAGTGGTTATGGCCAAACAGGGCCTTGGGCTTCCCGACCGGGTTATGCCTCCGTGTGCGAGGCGGAATCTGGTTTTCGCTATATCAATGGCATTCCTGATGTTGAAACGGAGGGCCTTTCTGGTCCTCCAGTTCGTCCCAACATTAGTTTAGGCGACTCAATCGCTGGCTTGCACGCAGCCTTTGGAACGGTATGCGGATTCATTCATTCTTCTTTGCTGGCATCAAACAAAAAAGTATATAATAGGTCCTCGCGTTGCTGTCGCGACAGCGTCAAAAGAGTCCTGATACCTCGAGTCAAACGGGAACGACTGTCGATGTCAGCATCGTGGAAAGGTGAGCATGCTCATTTGTGAAAAATGAAAATATCTTAACATAGTTCTCCAGTATGCTCAACCTGATGGAGGGAATAATACCTGAATACGATAGGAAAGGAAAGGTATTTACCGGCTAGGTTTCACATCTTATGCTTTACTTATCATGGGAAGATCCGTGGCCCCTCTGGTTCGTCGGTGACTGGCATTGTTCCGACGAACGCTTATCCTTGCTTGCCGGATTCACCAACGGGATCTGCTCCTACATATATCATCATTGGCGCCAACGGCGACACACTCTATAATCGTCTTATGACAGCGATTGATCGCATGGACTTGATAGGCCCCTCGTATCAGCACAATATGCACCGAGTTGCCAGACAGGCTGAGATTGAAGAGGCTATTTCTGCTTGGACTAGCCAGCGATCAGGTGACGAGGTGATTGATGCCATGAATAAAGCCAGCATACCCGTTGGACGCGTAGTGAATGTAAAGGAGATTGTTGAAGGGGAGCAAATCCAGGCGAGGGGGGCTGTCCGAGACGTCTGGGTTAATGGGTCACAAGGAAAAGAAGGCTGGAGCGTGAAAATGCAAGGAACGTTTCCATTAATTGACGGCGTTGACCTTCAACCTAAATGGGCCGGACCTGACCTCGGAGACCATACGGAAGACGTTTTGATGGGTGATTTGGGTTACAGCGCAGAGGAAGTAGACCAACTCAGGAAGGATGGGGTCATTGGCTGAGATAAACGCTGCAATTTCAAAACTACGCAAAAATTCTGGCTATCTATTCGGAAACGATATAAAAAAACTACAACCTTCTCTTTCACATATATATATTTGGCGTTTGAGTCAAAACCACAAGAATGCCGTCGGGGCTTTTACGGAAATATTTGCCGCGACCTCTTTCAAACCCTTGCCTAAATTTACTCTTTCGAAGACCTTCACTCCTCCGCCGTTCGTGCCGCCGGCGATCAGGTATTTATCGTCCGGACCGCCAAATTGCATTGCGCGAACATGCGTCATGCCTGTCCTGACTTCTGCTACCAGTTCGAGCGTGTCTGGATTCTCGATTGCAAAAATTGATATGATGTCACCCTCCGGCGACGGGTCATTCCGATTCGAAAGATAGAGGTAAGGCGTCGGGAATGATGGGTTCGGAACCGGAATAAGAATTTCTGCTGCGATCATGTCGTTGTCCGGAGGTAGAGGTTGAGACATGGTCGGGGTGGACGCTACCAAAGTTGGAAGGGCGGGGAGTGGAGGTAAGCGGTGTCGCACAAGCTTGTTTGATAATTCAAGGACTGTGAAAAGATGGCCGTCTAAACATAATCGAAGAATAAGATTTCTGGAAGGATTCGTGGACAAAGTACTCGCCGTAAAACGCTACATGACGCGGGCCACCGCCACTTGCGTATCCAATGTGTCCATGAATTTTCCACGAACCATCTCCCCGCCTTTTGAAGCGGCATACGCGATCAGCACCAAGGTCTGGGACAAAGAGTTCTTGATATTCTGGGTGAATCATGGCTTGATGTGGGTGAGACCCCTCCTGCCTGTTTTTGTTCGGGCCAGATCCACTCAGTTGAATGGTGATTGGAGATAAAATCAGATAAGGGGGTTCTGGTGATATTGGGAGAAAAGTAAGACTGCCTGAAGAATACTTAAAATGTGTAAATAGGCGCGTCACTTCCCCTTGTCAAAGGTCTTGAAATGACTTCTTACATTTGCGATAATTAACTGATCCTCTGTCGCGAACAATGAACAGGGGTCATCCCCTTCACTTGGCGCTTCTGCTACAATTTTTCCTTGTCCATCGGCGTCATACTTTAAAGCGAGTATCTTTCCCTCGGCCCGCTCCAACCCAGTCCAGACCAAAGAGTGGTCGCCATTGGTAGGATGAAAAGTGATCCAGGATGGATTTTGGCCAACAGAAACGATGGATGCTACCTCCAAAGCGGATGTTGCAGGGTCAAAAGTGAGAGTTGAGATGAAGTCTGTGTACGCCGAGACGAGGATGCGATAAATCATGATGACAATGGGGTTAAGCTGAGTTTCGTCTCAGCACTTATACCGGTTCAATGCCGACAATTAACCGGATACTGAGTACTGAAGATTGCTTTGACGAAATTTTTCATGGCGCAATCCGAGAGAAAATTTTATTTCACTTTGGCGAGTCGTGTGCAGTCACTAAACCGTCATCCAATGACGAATCGGATGGCACCAAACCTGATTGAGGCGACGAGTATATAAGCGAGATTGGCTAGATTTGACAACGATAAAACGGAGTTCCGAGAGTCAAGTGAACAGACGAGACACTTGTGAGCTTGCTACGACTCTGAGGAGGAGTGAAACCATCGATTTTGTCGTTACGCAAAGTCCCCAAGCGGCTTTCCAGCGGAATGCCGAGTTGTCAATCGGGTAATTCTGCGCCAACGCACCAGCAACCAGGTGATGTCCTTGGAAAGTGTGAAGAGCTCTTATCGCCGATTCGCGGATTATTCCAAGAAGCCTTGGAAGGTGTCTTTTATTTCGGGAGAAGATGGCCAGAACGGGGGCGGCGTCACCTAAAAATTTGCCTAGAGGGAAATTAACTATCGCTGTCGACGTCACTGCAGAAATCCGGGGAGCTAAACATAAACATGAGTCGTGTGCCCAAAGATTAATAGGAATGCCATCTGAAGAAACCTCCCAGAGAAGAAAGCCACATTTAACGTTGCAACTTGTAAGTTGTGTAATGTCTCAAGTTGTAATGAGGCTCTTCAACTATTTCGCATTACTAGGTGGCATCGACTCATTGAAGCCGCCCGCCTAAGCGCCCTAGGAATAGTGAGACTACTTGTTGATAAACAATCCAAAAAAAAAGAAAAACCTACGAGACGCGAGACTCGTCTTTGAGGTGGCTGTTGGGAGCCGTTCGGCGTGGGTGTTTGGCTTCCGACTCGTTGTATTTGGCAAAGACTTGGGACCCTAACTTCACTGACTCTTTTCGGCTCTCATCGTGGCGAGTCAATATTTGAAGTGCCTTCAAAAGCGACATTCGCGAAGCTCAAATCTAAACAGCCGGAAGCGGCTGCGATGAGCGCATCCGAAATCCAGTCTTGGATATCTTCCGCTGGTGCAGGGGAAAATGGGGAAGAAAACACCGATCAAGTGTTCTGGCAAAGGGATCGCGTGCTGAGCGATTGGCCAGGCTTCGTCGAATACGCGCAAACAAAGCTCCTAGTCAGCAAAACGAAATCTAGGATTCATTTTCTACGGGAAGAGCTACTTACACTTGCTAGAAATGGGGGTAAGTTTGCTGAAGTCATTTTATCGTATCTTTTCGATCTTACCTCAAACAGACTTGACGTTGACGCAAATTTTGGATGTATTCAGGCTACTGACGCTGACGTACCCTAGATATACGGATTCTGGCTCTCGGGATGCAGTGGAGGAGGTTGGGATGGAGCTAGTGCGGCGTGACGAGCGGAGGGGGTCACAGAATGGCCCGCTGGATGAAACGAGGCTAGGCGTAGCAGAACAGGTTCTTGGGTGGCTTTCGAATGAGGTGGGCCGGTTTACGAGGGGGGGAACTGCAAAGTACGCGTTTACGTCTTTTGAAAGTGCTTTTACTCAACATTTTCGTCTCCTCAGCTCCTACGCGCCTTCGGACATTTACGTCCTTCTTAGCTGGGCTTGTGGACTATATACCGTTTGCGTAAAGCACAACCCCGACTTTATCACTTCAAACTCTTGGCGTGTTCTCGTGGGATCAATGGCCTTACTGCTAGACATGTTGATGGAATCGACGCAGGCAAAGCCATCCCTCAAGCATGGCGGTCTTGTGCTCACAAGGCGTGCTCTACGATCGGTGCGTCGCTTCAACCATCTGATTTTGCTGTGGCTTACATCTGTTAGTCTGGTAACAATGTAGTCCGTGTGATTGACACACTCTTAGCCCTTACGAAGTCCAACCAACCACCGCTGCGCATGGTAACTTTGCTCGGGGTTTCTGTGGGTGTATTGACACACCTAAAAAATGTTCCAGAGGAACCGTCGACTCGTTTGCCTTCAGATCTCAAGGATGGAATCATTGCCCTCTACTCCAACGCCGTACTGATGTCCAAAACACCTGTCCCTGAACACGTTCTGACCGCTTTACAAGACTTTATCTCTACATTCGTTTCTGAGGACGATTTGGTCAAGTCTATACTTCCAACCATCGAAAGAACATTGTTACGAGCTCCAGAGAACAGTCTCCCTGGTACGTAGGCTGTTTGCGATTGATGACCAGTGGAATGACACATCTTTCTCAAGCTGTGACCAAATTCTTCCACATCTATTCTCATCCACTCAACGCTGATCTGTTCAAACGTGTCCTCGCGCAAATTATCAGCAGTTCGAAATCTAGCAATGCCCAAACGCGATCCAATTCAATTGAGCTCTTCAAGGCTTTGATATCTCGCTCAAATGACGATGATCCCCTCAACCTTGCTGGTTTGGCAATTTCGGACCTTCTCACCCTTCCCAAGACTGGCAAAACGGCGGGGCCTGACCACCGGGTAGCCTTATACTCGATGTTGAGCTTCCTGGGCGCGGGATCAGGCGTATCTTCATCTTTGGTTGAATCAACAATACCTCTCCTGGCGAAGGAGACTCATGAAGCGGCTACAGCTGTACTGGCAGCTGCTCTCCCCCCACATATAGTCTTCCTTCTTTCAAGCTCAACTTTATCACCGGACGTAATCCAGCTCATTGCAAAAGAGATGTCCAGCGCAAAGCCAGCAGTAAGAAAGGCGTTTGCTGGGTTGGCAGGGGCGATATTCTTTCATGAAGCAGATATCATTTCGAAGGAGAATGGTGTTGCCTTTGCTAAAATCGTCGTACATTCCTTCGAGAACTCACTCAAAACTGTGTCGGGTAACCCCTTAAATTCGCCTGGTGGTCCATTTGAAGGTTACGTTGCGCTTGCCGTTCTTCTGGGCCCTCTGTCGAGATCAGGCAAATTCGGTTCGTTTCACGATCCACAATGGCTTCGTCGTCGTGTGGCTGACATTGTGTCATAGACGACGTTATTTCACGAAATCCCGTTGTATCCGCAATTGTTACAAGTACCGCAAAGCAGTCCTTCCTCTTGTGGGACAAAGTCTACCAGAAGATCACAGATGCTGAAGACGAAAAGTGGCTTTTACGGGCAAGTGAAGCTGCCCTGCATCATTTCAAGGCTGATCTAGGAAAGAACGAAGCATTGCGGTATGTGGCCATCCACTTTTTAGGATGGTAGATTTGGGCCTCAATTAGCCGTGGCTCACGCATAGGTCACAGCTTGGCCTTATCTTCGTTCACCTTGCCCTCAATGGCCAATCTCCGGACTTGAGACGGTCGGTGTACAATGTTGTCGAGGCTGCTACAGCTGAAGCACCTGAACTGACAAACTCCGTCGTTCGCGATGCGTTGACCACCTTCGTTTCTCGTGGACTTCCAAACCCCAAATCGTCAACAGCTGGCGATGAACAGCCATCAGCTCTCTGGAACAAACATTCACGACTATCAGCACTTCTTTTGAGTGTCGTTGCATTCAAGGATGATGTCGACCCGTCTATTCGGGAGAGTTCAATCGTGAAGCTGATCGTTTTGGGCCATCATTCTCTCATATGTCCGTACGTTAATTCGCTGCCATTTTCATCTCACTCAAAAGACCTTCAGGTGGATCAGCACGCCAGACTTGGATCGACCTGAGCCAGAAGGCCGGAACGGACCCTCATGACCTCACGAATAAACATCTGGACAAACTCATAAGTCTGATCTTGGCTGCTGCTGCTGCCGATTCCAAAGTGGGCCTTGATGATCTCGAATGAATCGAAATTGACTGCCTCTCAGTTTGGTTTTGCGGAAGCGAGCTACAGTGCTGTGACCACTCTCGCGTTTGTCTCTCCTGCTTCCGTGTTGCCAGTAATCGTGAAACAACTTCAAGCGGACCTTGATCCCACTATTGTCAATTCTTTGACTGATGTTGATCATGGTGTCTGGGCTGCTCCGGAAGGAAGTGTTTTTGTCGATGGTTCGTATTTTCTGAATCGTCCTCTCTGTCCCTTTTAACTCTATCCACAGTGCTTTCATCAACGAAGGGAGAAGCTCGAGTTACCAACGGAAAAGATGCCGATAACGCCAAATGGGACGAGGAGATTCGGAAGTCTATTGCAAGTAAAAAGGCGACTCCTGCTGCCCTGACCAAACAACAACAGGCTGCTCTTCAAGCCCAACTTCAGAAAGAATCCAAGATACGCGAGAATGTCAGCCGCATCAAGTCAAACCTCGAACGTGGCCTTTACTTCATTCAAAGTCTTGTCTCAGCCGATGTGGCGGAATTCCATTTTTACACTTCATCGGTCGTCAACCTGCTCTTGGAGGGGCCGCTTGTGGGGGGAGCCTTTCTCGTGGGCGATCTTGCTTTTGAGACATACTTGGTAAGTTCTCATCAGTTAGTGGTGTCTCTGGTTCTAATATGGAGCAGAATTTGGCAAAGAGTACGTCTGAACGTTTGGACACCCTGCGAAAGTGGGTCGGCATTGCCACACTGCGCAGCCTAAACATTTCGGACGTTCCTGAAGAGCTTCAAGCTGAGCCCATCAATTGTAAGCTTTGTGACTAAACGTCCTTTGGAATTCTTGTTCACATGACGATCCCAATAGCACTAGTCATCCGTGTCCTCCACCGCCTGCGATCTCTTTCTGAGCAGGCCCCTTTCGATGCTGCAACCTTTTCCTACGCTTTTCCTCTCCTCAGCCAGGTTCTGCTTCTTGGAGGAGTTTCACCAGCGGATGAGGATGAAGCACTCGAACAAGTTGCTTTGGCGCTTGGCGTCATTAGATTCCACTCAGGGGAATGTCTGTTTTGATACGCTCCCTCCGTTTCTTCTCTTCTCACGTTGATTATCGTAGTTTCCGATACTGCCTTCCCTCGGCTACGGGCGATGGAACACCTTCTCCATGTCATCCGTACCCAGCCGAGGCTTAGTAAGGAGGCATCTTCGGCCCTCATTGAGCTGGGAGAATCTATTCATGCAACAGCCTCTCGGCCGGAATTATCGGTTCTCCTTCGCGGAACTTTGCTTCAAGAGTCTCATGTCCGAAACTCTTGCTTGCAAACGTTGCAGGTTTGACACTCGTGTTCTCGTTTACTTTAACTGATTTGTGCTCAGCCATTTGATCTGACCGATTTGGAATGGACACCGGAACTCTGGATTGCGTATCATGATGAGGATGAACAAAATGCCAGGCTCGCCCAGCATGTATGGGATGACAACGGCTTGGATGTCCCAGAGAGTTTCCTCGATGAACTTTTGGTTTTCTTGGGTGTGCTCGTTAGTTTGACGTCACACGACAAGGGCTGATGGCTCCTAGATCACGAAAATGCTTACGTTCGCTCAGGCGCCGCTGCGGCGATCGCGGAAGCGTTGGAGCAATGGCCACCTTCAATTCAACGGACGGTTGATGCACTGCAAGATTATTATCGAGAAAAGGTGCGAGAAACTATACCTATTTGTTCTTAGAGCTCATACCGCTTTCAGGCGAAGATTCTTGCTCCCGAATTTGATGAATATGTCTGTGAAATCAACTGAGTTCTCTGCTCGCGGTGACTGACGTTGAATCCAGGGAATGGTTATCGCTCTAAGCCTCGACCGTTCCGATCCCTGGCCTACTCGCTTAGCAATAGCGAAAGCATTAGAACTTTTGGCTCCCTCGTTCACTGAAGCTGAACTTGAGCCGTTTTTCAACTTCTTGATACAAGACCAGGCGCTTGGCGATCGGACACCTGATGTTCGGCGGGGCATGCTCAACGCGGGCACTGCCGTTGTTGATCTTCACGGGCCAAAACGGCTTGCAGGACTCATATCGTTGTTCGAAGGCCATCTCAGCCAGGTAAAGTCTGCAACGGAGGCCGACGATTATATCAAGGAGGCTGTTGTCATTCTTTTCGGACGAGTGGCTCGTCATTTGGATGCTGCAGATCAACGTATTCCTTCAATCGTCGATCGCCTCGTGGAAGCTTTGCGAACACCTGCGGAGCAAGTACAAATTGCTGTGTCCGAATGTTTGTCGCCTCTTGTGAAGCTTATAAGGTCAAGATTAGCAACGCTAGTGGAACATCTCTTTGACGACTTATTCAACGCCCCAAAGTATGCCGCCCGCCGTGGAGCTGCCTATGGTCTGGCTGGTGTCCTCAAGGGAACAGGCATCGCTGGGATGAAGGAATTTGATGTCATAAGGAGGCTTCGAACAGCAGCAGAGGACAAGAAGAAATATGAGCCGCGCCAAGGAGTGATGTTTGCACTCGAAACAATGTCAACAACTCTCGGGCGGCTGTTTGAGCCATACATCACATACGCTCTTCCACTCTTGTTGACTTCGTTCGGCGACGCCGTTGCAGATGTTCGAGAAGCTACGCAAGATGCTTCGAGAATCATCATGGGAAATTTATCAGGTTATGGTGTCAAGCTCATATTGCCGACGCTGCTTGAAGGACTAGATGAAAAACAATGGCGGACGAAGAAGGGCTCGATTGAACTGTTGGGTATGATGGCCTACTGCTCTCCTCGGCAACTCTCAATCTCTTTACCCATTGTCATCCCTCGCCTGACTGGTGTATTGACCGACTCCCACGCACAAGTTCGAACGGCAGCAAACAAGAGCTTGAAGCAGTTTGGCGAAGTCATCAGTAACCCTGAGATTAAGTCTTTGGTTCCTGCACTTCTCAAGGCGCTTGTTGACCCCACAAAAACCCCTATCGCTTTGACGGCATTGCTGAAAACTTCTTTCATGCACTACATCGACCATTCTTCCTTGGCATTAGTACGTAACGAATTCTTCTAGCTAATTAGCTGGCTCAACTTATCTCCCAGGTCGTTCCTATTCTTGAGAGAGGATTGCGAGAACGTGGAGCTGAAACGAAGAAAAAAGCTGCCCAGATTGTTGGAAACCTTGCTTCCCTCACGGACGCAAAAGATTTTGTTCCGTACTTAGACGGATTATTGCCCATGGTCCACCAGGTACTTGTTGACCCTGTACCTGAAGCTCGTGCCACAGCTGCGAAAGCACTGGGCACTCTTGTCGAGCGTCTTGGGGAAATACATTTCCCTGATTTGGTTCCTGGTTTGCTGCGGACTCTCAAGACCGATACGTCTGGAGTCGATAGACAGGGTGCAGCTCAAGGTCTCAGCGAAGTTCTTTCGGGTCTTGGCATGGAGCGCCTAGAGGGCCTCCTGCCAGATATTATCGCAAATGCTCGCTCACCTCGGCCAACTGTTCGCGAAGGATTCATGTCACTTCTCGTCTTCTTGCCTGCTACGTTCGGCACTCGATTCCAACCACATCTACCGAAAATCATTTCGCCTATCCTTGGTGGTTTGTCAGACACGGAAGAGTATGTTAGAGAAGCGGCCATGCGTGCTGGGAGGATGGTTGTCACCAACTATTCATCCAAGGCTATTGACCTTTTGCTGCCTGAGTTGGAGCATGGTATGTTCGACTCTGGTTGGAGAATTCGGGTATGTTCAACGTGCCCTAAAAAGTGCCATGCTAAATGTCTGTTTCAAGCAATCATCCATTACACTCGTTGGAGAACTTCTCTTCAAGGTATCTGGAATCTCAGGAAAGGCCTCCGAGGTTGAAGAAGAGGAAGTTGCGGCAGGTGCGACAGCAGAGTCGTCTCGTCGTGCTCTTTTGGAGGTTCTTGGGGTGGAGCGTCGGGACCGCATATTGGCAGCTCTGTACCTCGTTCGCCAGGATGGTGTTGTTGTCGTAAGGCAGTCTTCAATGCAAATTTGGAAGGTGCTCGTCCACAACACGCCACGAACAGGTACTTCTATCAAGCTCCTAGACGCCTACAGACGCTAATGTGTTCTTTAGTCCGGGAGATTCTTCCTGAGTTGGTTAATCAGGTGGTCTACCTGATTTCGAGCGATGAATCTGAACAAGAAGAGGTAGCTCTAAGTTCGTTTCATCATGAATGGCTCTGACTGCAATTTAGACGGCTGCAAGAACGGTATCAGAATTGTGTCGCAAGTTTGGCGAACGAATCCTCAACGAAATTATGCCTATACTCAGAGCAAAATCTACATCACCAGACTCACGAACAAGGCAAGGTGTTTGCAGGATGTTAAGTGAGATCATGTAAGCTGTTCTTTCTGTACACCATTCGGACCGATTCTAGCTGGTTTTTAGGCAAAATGCTTCAGAAGGCCAAAAGGAAGATCACGAAGACGATATCATCTCTATGGTCCGCATATCACTGGTAGATGACGAAGCCAATGTCCGTGCGGCTGCTGCTCAGGCGTTTGACATTCTTCAAGAAGAACTTGGAGCCAAGGCCATTGATCAGACGATACCCACTTTGTTGGAAGCGCTTCGTCAGCCTGGAAAGGGTTCTGGGACTGCTCTTGAGGCGTTGCGAGAGGTCATGGGCGTAAGACTCCTCCTTCATCTACTTTATCAAAGCTTATGTACTCTAGGTTCGAGCGACAATTGTGTTCCCAGTTCTGATACCGACGCTCACGGCGATCCCGATGACGGTGTTCAATGCTCGTGCACTTGCTTCATTGGTGACGGTTGCTGGGAATGCTCTGAGCAAGCGGTTGACTGTCATCTTGAATGCCCTCGTCAAAGTCTCGGAGGAGAACAACGAGGAAGAGCTGGCAAAAGCAGTCGAAGAAGCGATCCAGGCTTTGTTCGTCTCTATTAGCGATGCTGAAGGTCTCAATACATTGATGATGCTCTTGATTGGGTGGTACGTCGACAGTCGCTTCCTAATATTTACCCCAACTAATCCATAATTCAGGGCCAAGAATCAACACCCCAGACGGCGTGTCAGCGCGTGCCGGTTGTTTTCCGTGTTCTGTGAAGTATCAGAGCTAGATTTCTCACTCTACCGTATCGACTGGATCAGAGAACTCGTGTCCTTGCTGGAAGACCCAGAAGTAAGTGTCCACACCGCAGCATGGACGGCGTTCGATGCCTTTGTCAAATCCGTGCCCAAAGACGAACTAGAACCCCTTGTAGTTCCCTTACGACGCAGCATCGAATCCACAGGCGCTCCAGGAACAACAGTCCCGGGCTTCAACCTCCCCAAGGGAATCTCACCTACTGTGCCTATCATCATTGCGGGCTTAACCACAGGAAGCAACGAGCAGCGCGAGCAAGCTGCATACGCTATTGGGGACCTTGTCCAGCGCACAGACGAATCTGCCATCAAACCCTTTGTGGTACCCTTCACGGGCCCTCTGATCCGCGTAGCCACGCAAGCGACGACTTATCCGCCACAAGTGAAGACCGCCATTCTCAGTGCACTAACGTCGATGCTCGAGCGGATCCCGGCGTTTGTGAAGCCGTTCTTCCCGCAGTTGCAGCGGACGTTTGTCAAGAGCGCGAGCGACCCTGCAAGTAGCGCTGTTAGAGGTAAAGCAGCGCAGGCACTGGGAGTGCTCATGCGGAGTCAGCCTAGAGTAGATCCGGTGGTGACCGAGTTGATCGTGGGTGTGAGGGGGGGCGAGGAAGGGATTGCGACGAGTTTGGTGGGAGCGCTTGCAGAGGTTGTGAGCAGTGGTTCGGAGAACCTTGGTGAAAAGGCGAGGGAGGCGTGTGTGGATGTTGTTGTAGAGGCATTTAGAGATTCGCATAGTGGTGAGTGGATTTTGCTCGACTTGTGGTTATTTTGGTGCTCATGTGGGGGATAGAACATTATTGCGAAGCGATTGGGAGGCTGGTGGCATCTCTGTCCGATAACCCGGAGCTTCTCCGCCCGATAGTCGAGTAAGCTGCCGTCTGTTTCTTTTTCTCTCTACTTTTGCTTGATAGATGCGCACAGATCCCAATTAACGAGCAGTAGTCCTCAATGTGTGTTGTCATCACACATCATTCTTGCAGTGCTCGAATCCCAAGACGACGAAGAGGAGCCTGGATTGAATTTGTTCCAAAAGCTACGGCTCCAAAGAAGTGTAGCCCAAAAAGCCCTCGAGAGCGCAGCGAATGAGAAACCAAGTATTGCTAGGCCTGCGAGAGAAGCGAGAGATCGGTTTAGGGAGATGGTAGATGATGAGGCCTTGATCGGGTTGTTTTAGTAGAATATGTGGTCTGTATCAAGGCATTACATGCTTGCCAGGATCAATCGATTGAAATCAGTACATAAGCCAAGTGTCAATGAACTGTTGATTGACACGGTAAGTAGGAGCCACAAAAATGCGTCAAATGTGTTTTACATCGATGGAGTACAAGTAATCCAGGCTGGATAGACAAAACACTGTTACAGGGAACACAAAAATACTATCACCAAGAAAGGAATTCAAGGTACACTGACGAAGTTGGTTCAGGTATTCAAAATGTCCAGCAACGCCTGGCGGTGGGGCGTTAATGGCAAACCAACACGAGGCGCGGTGATGAACGGTGGGAGGACAAGCCCCGCATTCTCCTTTTGGCCAATACTCTGACACCCATGAGACAGGATATCATTCAGAATATCCACTGCAGCCCAGTCCGCAGGATTAATCGCCACTGCGTCCGGGAGTTCGTTCGACTTGTTAGCTGTCAGTGTGTTGATAGCTTGCGGGGCTTTGGCTCGAATCCTGGCCAAACCCTTCGTTTTCGTGCTGCCCCAGCTTCCCACAGCTTCCTTGAACGGAGCGACGTCCGACTTTTCGTAGCTGGTGCGCTCGACCGCGCGCTGGGGACCGAGGATGGCTCGCTGGACTGCTTCGGACGGCGGTGAGTTGGTATATCCACTCTCTCGAGAGATCCGACGAGTGGCCCGTCGCTCGACGAAGAGGACGCCAAATGGCATCCGGTTCAAGCGCGATCCTGGTGAGGGAATTAGATCATCAGAAGAGTCGCTATTCTCGGCATGATCATCCTGGTAGGTCGTTGCGGGAGGCTCGTTCTCATCGAAGACTTCATTGAGAAATAAGTCGTCGGGTGAGGAGGACAATGTCTCAATTTGCGGGGGTGGGGAGACGCAGGGACCCATGGTAACGTGGAGCTTCTCTTGGCTGACCTCCGCCCCGATTTTGACTTTGTAAATTGTTTTGAAACGGGTGGGGAACACGAAATCGGTTGGCGAGATCGTAGACAATGAAGGAACGGGAAGGGGATGTTTAGGAATGGTGCGTGCGGTAAACCTTCCAGTTCCAATCGCACCGAATGGGTGAGCCGTCTGGCGGGTAGGTCTGCCAAAAGATTCCCCATCGAGTGGCGCCCAGATGTTAGAGTTAACCAGGTAGTCCATGGTGATATTATCCGTCTGAAACAAGATGATTGAGCACCAACACGAAGGCAGGGAGAGTTTAGCATTTACCTTGGTAGAGACAGGGAGAATATTAGTGTTCGTGAATGAAGACATCATTGAAGGTGAGGATAGGCTTTGGAGGTACAAGGTGAAAGTCACGTAGGTGGGTAGGTGGAGAGGTGGTCGTGTCAGGCTGATGTCGGACAAAAGTTGAGGGTAGTAGGTAACTATCCTCACTGAGAGGCGTAGATGGTTTGTGAAGTCAACCCAGCCTAGAAGCAACCGCCTTTTAAAGTACCTGCCTCGCGCTGTTGGATGTGGCCCCAGGTGATCACCTGACCGCGTTTTCCTTTGTCGCCCCTCGATTCGGTGAACAATGGCAATCTCCAAGATGATACTAATTAGAAGTATTAAAAAGGTTCAGGGGCGGTATGCACCGATTGTTTAGGCCCTCGAGGCTCCTAGCCATGGGGTGTTGGGCTTAATGGGGTTATGGGCACAGACAAAGGCTCAAAATTGAAAGGACCCTGCACGATGTGGCACGTACGAGGTTTTGTAGATCTTCCGTCTTCATGTCCATTCAATGGAGGTAACGACGTCGATTAGCTAGAGAGCTGCCGCAACCGGCCCCAGAAATGGATTCGCACAGAATTAATTCGACATTCTGGGGCATGTGGCAAAGGCAATAGGGAGCGCGAAGGGGATGAAATGGCTGGGCTTGAAATGGCCTTCTTAACCAGAACGAAAAGAGAGTGCGAGATCTCCACAGATGTTGTCAGATTTAAAAGACGATGCAAAACACATAAAAAACATACTGGCATTCAATCCTCTCTGGAACGCTACCTCCTCGTCAACAGGTATTACATACTAGGTGATGTTTTAGGAGAATGGAATGCTAATCTTCGGAACTCGGATTAATGGCTGTTGCTCTCGGGACGTGCATAGCATCTGGTTGGAAGTAACAAGCAATGGAACCTCTTCAAACAAGGGAGGCATCGCCGTTTTGAGGGAAAATTTCAAGTAAAGGTCGCAGAATTTCTTTGGTAAGGAGGGGTGTCCGTCGAGGTAGGAAATCCGGATGACAGCGAAAGCTCCTAAAACCTGTATGGAAAGAGAATAGAGCGCTCTCGAGAATGATAGAAATGTGAACCAAGGCGAAGGGCAGAATATCGAGTTTGGGCGTAAGGGCGATATTGCAGGACACTTGTCGACAAAAGGTCGATACAAGGTCGATGAGACACGTAGATTGACCCAAGGATGGAGGGAGACAAGTTGCCTGTTGGTTAGCCGTAATCAGAAATGACAGGCCGGCGAGCTCGGCCCGGAACCCTTTCAGCCTCAACTTCGTCTCAAAAATCCCGCGCAGTGAGTTTGGTACATCGCTGCCAGTGGTACGTGGTGTGCCAGGTATTGGGTTGCTTGAGAACGCAATGCACATTACATACCTAACCTCAAGAACCAATGTCATGGATATAATATGAATGTTAACGACTCCGACTCCCAGTTGCGTAGAAAAAAGATTCTATTCCCTTGGTGTGCAAAAGTATCGATCGCACTGTGCATGAAGTCACGAAATTTTAATCTCGATGCATGCAAAAATTCTCCGTTATTCCCACTGAATTCTAACATGACATACTTCTGTGTATATCGCTTATAAGAATCAATGAAATGGGTTATCAATCGACACGTCGAACAACTCCTCGTAAAGAATCGGTCGTTCAATGCAGGGACAGACGTTGTGTCGCCAACAAAGCTCTATAAACTTCTTCTCTTCTTTTAGGAACTCCTCCCGTAGCAGCTCATCGGTAGGTCTAATGTAACGGAGAGTGACAGCTCTCAGATGAGAAGGGTGACCTCCGCCATGAGTCGACCCCCGACTCGTCACCAGATGAAGTAGACTTTGTGGGAATGCATTTTCATCGCAAGTGACATCGATGGACCGTAAATTTGGTAGAAGAGGGGTCTGTGCGATCTGCATAAGAACGTCCGGGGTATCAATAGAGAGATGCTGGATGGTTGAAGCTTGTTGCAATATTTCCTCAAGTTGTGGATTGGATATTGAACTATAATTCAAAGCTAATCGGGAAAGCGCAGGAGAGCGGCGAATAAATTCGATGAAGATTTCTTGGTCCCAAGGGGCCTTGTAATATGGCAAATTTTCGATTCGAAGGACAAGGACTGATAAGGATGGAAGACAAAGTGCACCGAGCATTTTCCCAACATCAAATCCTGCCGCTAAAGCATCTGGCTGTTGTAAAATTATCGTCAAGGAAGTCAAGTGTAAAAGAGCGGTGTCGGGAAGGGTTACGCTGACTTGGAAGGATGAATTGCAAAGAATGACACATTTTTGAAGATTGGGCATTGATCTCATTGCAAAAACGAGAGGATGGAATGAAATACCACCACGCCAGTGAATATGGAAGGAGGTCAGATTGAGCAATGGTATCTTGAGCAGGATATAGGGGTTGTAGGTGTTCAAGGCAAGGGATGACAACTGATGCGCAAATTCAAAGATGTCTATAGCCAGATCGGTCGGCCATGATCTTTGAGTAGTGTCAATGGAAAGGCTGCGCAGCTGAGATAAATTGTTTCTCATGAATTTGAATGCCTGCCACGTGGGATCGTACGGGGCAAGGTCAAGCGAAGCATCCGCCCATCGATTCGATTGACCAACAAGGATTTTGAGAGCGGTATGTCCCTCCCAATTGACTGCAGAACGAAATCCACCGTTCCCCGCCTCAAGGACTGCCACCTTCAGTGGAAGAGTACCAGATCGCGCAATCCACATATCAACCAGGTCAGATAAATGAGCCGCCTGGGGCATGGCCAGCACCAGTCGTATTGTTGTCCATAACGCGGGGGTTGATATCGCGATAGCACGCCACCAGCTGCATACGTGGGTCAGCAGCAGGGGGCCGGCCTTTGCGTCGAAACTGTCGTCCACAGAGGGGACAATGCTACATGGGGCTCCTTTTGAACAACGTGTAAAAACTTCGACCCAAAGCTCTGGGGGAAGTCGCCGAGAAGGCGCGATTAGCGCAAGGTGTTCGGTCATGTATGTTTGATGTGCACTGCACTGCGTCTGGTTTGGCTTGCTCAAACTTTCTAATCCCTGATCAAGGTGCGATGGGTCTGATTGGGTGGTTGAGAGCGATTGGGATGTCGCTCGGAATTGGTCAATGGAGGGACTAGTGTTGGATGATAAGCTTGCGGAGTCAGGGGAGGGTGGCATTCTGCTCGTATCCGGTGTCAAGACCTGTGTGATCTGAGAGTGAGCAGCTTTTTGGCATTGGACTCATAGTGCGCACGAACAGTATATTGGAGCTGTGGTGAAAGGTGTGAGGGAGAGCCAAAACAAAGCCCAACACCGTTGGCGTTCCTAGAGCAATTGTTTGGCAATTGTAGGCTGCAACGCAACTGCAACGACCTCGAAGTCGGATCAACAATTTTTTCTTTCTCATCGATCTGTGTACCTTCTATCTCCAGCCGTTGGCAGGCCCGCTTTTCCACGCTGGATTTTCCAAGCTCAACTGGCACTGGCAAGTTACGGAGGGCCGCGGCCCCGCCGTGCTCAAGCAAGCTCCGACGCTGGCACAAAGCTCTAACCTTTTTTTAGCTTCAAAACTTCAATTCCCAAACCTCCGGATGTATAACTGAGTAAATCCGATTTTCTGACGGATCGGGAACGGGTCAACAGGATTTTTTGCTTGTCGTCGACTCCTCCAAGACCGAGAAAAGATTGGTGCTGCCCAAACCTTTGAACTCCGCCTCTGGGTTCTTTTTTCCTGGTTGCGACATTCGATTGTTATTTCTATCAACAACTTGAAAAGTTGTCTCAAAAGTCGGGTGTAATCCTTGAATTTCGAACGGATAAAAATCAGGCTGAAGTCGTTTTCCACCTTTGAATCCCCTCGGTAATTTATATACCTATGCCAAAGATACAACCATCACTCAAAATTCTGTAGTGTATTGAGGCTTGGCTGGTCCTCGCGCCCGTCGCACTGTTACCAGCGTCGACTCGAAAACTTCAATCTGCGGTAGCCTCTGCCAGTGGGTCCAACTCCCGGACGGAGAGATCGGTATGCACTTGCGCTTCTTTTCTTCTTTTTACCAGCTGCAAAATCTCAAAGCCCATCTACTTATAAGACCTCCTAATGCCCTAAACATTCTTCTCTTGTAAATCTTGTCCCAATCTATCGGAAATTTTACTTGCAACACTACCAATATATATAGTCATTCTTGTTAGTAGAAGATAATCATCTCTGTTGGTATATTTGGTCAGTACACGCGCCTGTCATCTATCATGCGTGATTTCCCCGTCTCCGCGCGAAAGCTGGGTTCAACTCCCAGACAGAGAGTCACCTTTTCAAAGCTCTTCCACCTTTTTTCGTTTGGACATTTCTCATATTTGACAGGTGGATTAATAGTCTCATACACGGTCTGGACTAATAACGGCCGTTTAGGTAGACAAACTAACCAACGTATTGATTTTTGAAGTGAAACAGAAAACCGCCACCACAAAACCAAGACCCCCAAACCACCCTACTTCATCATCTCCCCAATCATACAAACGCCCGATCCTGAAGTTCGTGACCCCTCTGCTCAGACGGATGTTGATTACTCTCGTCGCATTAAGTACTGAGTCTCCAATATCCATCAATGCAAAGGTAGAACACTAAATTTTGGCGGTTGGGGCTGGATGTCTCTGGCAGGATGATGGATCATGATGGTCCAAAAAAATGGCGCAGGATCACGTCGATGTTGGAACGGTGCGGAATCTGAATCTTGAAGATGACATTAAGACGCCAGAACAACTTCCATCCACGTCGTCCTGGATCCTGGCAAATATGGGGGGAAGGTGTTGGGTACGACGCTGGAGATGGGGTCAACAGCCCAGGACGTAATGCGAATGAGCTCTAGATTTAGCGTGGTGTTGCGACGCGCTGGAAGAAAGGAACTGAGGGGACGGAGAAAAGGGAGGGAAGATACGGTGGAGGTGAGAGAGACGATCTACATTTCGATTTTAGGAGCGAAGAGCTTTGTGCCTGCCTGCAAAGGGGAAAGACGATATATACTTGCATTTCAGAATGTCTGTTCAAGTTGGTTCGCATGTGAGTTGGATTCTATGGACGAAGGAAAGTGGCGGACGTACAGCGTGGCCCCTCTGGAATGTCTACTTCGGTCCACCGTCCCTCCGAAACGTTCATCTCGTTTAAGCAAGGGTGTGCAATTCAACCCCTTGACGCACTTTTTGTAAAGCAGCTCATCGAAGGTAGGTTTGCCTTGTATCTGATAGTTCGATCGCGCGAGTTGTACCCAGTCGACAACATCCCATCAAACCCGACCTCCCTCGCAAGACGTATCCAAGCTCGAGTCTGGGTGGGCCACACCATGGTATCGTATCAGCGAAAACGGGAAAGCTGGAGTATTGGTTTTGAACGGTCATGCGATGGTCTCTGAAGCGGGCAAGCCCTGAGAGGTCCAATATGAGCAGGCGTAGAAAGTGCTGAAGAATCCAAAATGGCAAAAAGTGGATGGCAACAGAGGTCGGCGTAAGAGCAAGCGTTGGATGATCTCTTGACTTTCTGCCGAGAAGATAGTTACCGTTTTTACTCTGCACCGACATTAGCACGAGTCGCGATAAGTAAATTACGGAACTTACAAGCAAAGTAAGTACACGCATTAGCGCGTTACCGCCTTTCCGCCTGGTGCATAAGTAGAATGAGGAGATTATATAAGGCCTAGGCTCATAGAGCCCCAATACTAATAGAGCCACTTCAAACTTGGGCCTTCTTGCCCATCATCAATCAACCGCATCATGCCTCCCCGCCGTCCAATGTCCGCTCTTCGACGGAAGAGGTTACTTTTCTCCTATGCCCCGGATTGGTGAGTTTGACTTCATATCACATCTACTGTAAGAGCTAACAAGGCCCCAGGATTCTAACCATAGTGCTCGCGTACGACCTTTCCCCTGCTCACTTCGAACATATTGTTGAAAATGAACATATAACAGGGCAGCGTTCTTCGCGTTGGACAAGGTGCACGGGTACAGGAGGGTGTTTTCGTTGGAGGATACCTCGTACGTTTACCCTTACTCTTTGCTCCCTCAACGTCATTCTCAGTTATTGCTGCAGGTTACGACACCCGTACGTCCTCTTCTTCCCCTTTGTAAGAGACACGTTAACTGGATCGAATAAACAGGTTCGCAGAAAAAGAACGCATACCCGTAAGTACCCCCCTCTCTTGAGTCTCTGCTCCCCGTCCGTTCTCACCTGTCACAAATCCAATGCAAAGGACGTTGCACTCTACATGATATGCTTCGTCGCGCCTCTCGTCATCCAACCACTCATCAACCTGCTGACTATTCGCTCCTGGTGGGATCTACATAATGGTATACCCACTCCCCCTCGCTACTTTCTCCACTGACACGTGCCTCGTATTGATAGGTACACTCGGTCGTACGTGCCTCTTTACCCTGATCCCCACCCGCTGACCGCCTCGCAGTGATTCTTGGTTTGGCGTTGACGGGCGCGGTGACACAGTTCACTAAGATCACAGTAGGACGACCACGTCCAGGCACGTCCATTTCTTCCTTTCCTTGTGTTGCTCCACTCTTTCCCACCGTTACACCACACATTTCTCCCTTTTCCTTATGTGTCTTGCTTTCCTTTTATTCATTTTTATGCGCTTTCCTTACCTTCCCTTGCGCTCCTTCCTTTCCTTACCGTCCCTGCCCTCTTTACACCTCATCTCCCTTCCTTCCTCCCTTCTCCTCCCTTCCCTTCCCTCGCTCTCCTTCCTTCCCTCGCCTCGCTTCCCTTTCTCCCATTCTTCCCTCTCCCTTGCTCCACTATAACAACTAAACATATTCAAACATACAGACATAATCGCCCGCTGTCTCCCACCACAAAACGCCACAGACCCCATCTTCGGCTTATCCACAGACGCCATATGCACAAACACCGACGTGGCTATTATGCGTGATGGGTTTCGGAGTTTTCCTTCTGGACATTCGAGTCGTACGTTCTCCCATTCTTGTTTAGAGGTAGAAGGTAGAAGGCTAACGCAACCCATAACAGTATCGTTCGCAGGTCTAGGGTTCCTTTCGTTTTATTTAGCAGGGAAACTGCACCTTTTTGATAAGAGGGGACACGCTGTACGTTCCTCTTTTCCGTTTCCCCCTGAACTCGACTCACGTATGAACGAAACTACACACAGGGAAAAGCATGGTTATCCCTTACCCCGTTCGCAGGCGCTGCTTTGGTGGCTATTTCGCGGACTATGGATTATCGACGTACGTTTTTTCTCTCTTTTTTTCCCCTGCTTCCTTTACTGTTCTGCCTTTCTTTACCTTGCCTTTCTTCCCATCCCAACTCAACTAACGCCCACCCTCATCCACAGACCACTGGCACGACGTCCTAGTAGGCTCCATCCTCGGCACCGTCCTCGCCTACTTCTCCTACAGACAATACTACCCCTCTCTCTCCTCCGAACTCTCCCATCGCCCGTATTCACCTAGGATCAAGGATGAGCTGGATGCGAACCTGCATAGGAATGATCTCGAGTCGCCGGTGCCTATGGCGAATCAACAACAAGGTCCTGCGGCCCATCGAAGACAAGAGTCGGCGGTTCAGCAGCAGCAGCCGCTGACTGCGACTGCGCAGGAGGAGGATTATGAGCTTGAAGGGACGGCGCCTAGGCCCAGTGGGCCTGGGCATTTGTATGATGTGTGGAGTGAGGGACGGAAGGATGAGGTGTGATGCCCTCCCTACCTAGGCTTTGGGTTGGAAGTGGTGGTGGGGTTGGTTTTACGACTTACTGGATAGATGGATGGATGTTTTTTCGTGATTTTATGTTTGTTATATGGACATTGCTTAGTTTAGTAATCGAGGAGTGGAATTATGATTTAAGGTGTCCGTTATAATATGTGTATTATACAAAAAGATGAGCGAACATGTGCACTGAAAAAAAAAAAAGGCAACACTTGTAGTACTTACCGTCCAAATCTCTCTGTCTGGGAGTCGAACCCAGCTTTCGCGCGGACAGGCGGTCAGTGAGCAATGACAAGCGCGTGTACTAACCGATACACTAACAGAGATTGATTAGGATTGCTATTTGAAGAGATTCAACATGGGTTGGATTGTTACATAGCGGTACTGGGTCGATGTTTGATTTTACTACTGTACGGCCGTTTTAAGCCAACGGTCGAGGAGTCGAGGGATGTTGTTTATATGCTCAGGTGTGTCGATTTATTCTGTCCAAACGGTGAGCACGCAGTGTATTGAAAAAAAAAAAACAAGGGACGCCGGCGGGCATTTGTATAATGTGTGGACTCTGGAGTGAGGGACGGAAGGATGAGGATGTGATGCTGAGGGTTTTGATTTTGAGCTGAAAGTGGTGGTGGAATTGGGGTTGGTTGTGGGGATAATTTTACTACGCTACGGCTTGTGTCCGTGACTTTTTGATTGTGTTTTTCAACGAGGGTTAGTACAATTTGGGAAGTTGGGGGATGTTGCTTTATACATTGTGAAGGTGTGCGTTATAATACGATTCATTTACGTTCTGTTCAAAAAAGGCGAACGTCATGTGTATCTTCTTTTTTTTGAAAATATGTATATTGATGATCAGCTATCTCTCTGTCTGGGAGTCGAACCCAGCTTTCGCGCGGACATCAACACTTATACCATTATATGACAGGCGCGTGTACTAACCGATATACTAACAAAGAGTGATTAGAGTTGTCATTTGAAGAGATCCGACACGGATTGGATTGTGCATAGTGGTCTCATATGCGGTGTCTGGAGGTGGCTTATGTCCATATATAGGACATAATTATGTACAAATGCGGAAGTCACATGTAACGTCACACGTAAGGTAGAGGACATCCACTTGCTTCCACCGTCACGTGATGAGCGTGACAATTCCAAAAGCGTCTACATTCCTACAATAAATTCCTCAAATAATAACAAAAGCTTTTCAGGACAATCGGTTTCCATAGAATTGCTCCAAAAGTAGTTGTGATGTTGTAGAAATAAAGAAATCAGGAGAAAATTGAATATTTAGCGTGATCGCCCAGAAATACTGCCAACGCAGCTGTATTCTGCGGCGCGTCTTGCGGAATCCTGTCCCTCTCCTTTCAATGCATCAGTAAGTTCTACCTAAATTCGTTTGCATTAATGTGATATTGTTGGAGGTTCGCCACGCGAACTGACCGCTTTATGGATGCCTATGAAAAGGGCCTCAACGGCCGTCAAGCTGCTTGGGCAGCGCACAAATATCGAGGACACCGTGTTCTCCCACAAACACTTATGGATGACATGGAGAAAGCAAATATCCATTAAATTTGCTCTATCCAGAGCATCTACTGGACTGTTTGCCTTTCCATTTCATCAATTCCTGCCATGTTCCTGTACATAATTTCGTATTTCTGGGGGATTAGACCTAGTTCTTACTCTTAAAACTTTTACTTTTGTATATAAATGCTTAATCTAGTTTTAAACGATTCTATGGTCTTCGATTTTGTGATTTGTGGGTGAGTAATATCTAATTCTCATTTCTCTTATTTTCTTGAGGTGTTGTTCCCGATTTAGATGAGGATGTCACAACAAAGTAACCGCACGTGATGTTGGAAGGAAGTGGATGTCCTCTACCTTAAGTGGTGTTGCACAATCCTTGGTAAGTGTGATGACCAGTGACATGCCGTGACATAGCGTCACAGGGCCAATTTCTTGAGACATGGACTTTGTACCTTCCACAACACCAATTCAATATATTTTTTGCACTGGGTTTGAGGGAATGATGTGATTGAATCCACTGAGAGAGTTTTCCATGTAGAAATTTTATTTATTGCTCCAAAAATGCGAAATCAGCTTGTTTTCCCTGCCAAATTTGGCACTCTGGAGAGATTGGACTATAGCTTTCCAACCACAACACGTATGAGCATGGTTTGTAGGGGGATATTACTTAGAATTTGAATTCTAATCGATCTACGGATTCAGAAATTTTATTTGTGGCCCCTATGTCGAGATCACCCCTAAGAATGGGCACTTTAACATAGTTATGAGGTAGTAATTAAAATTCTGGACCCGTAGGATTGAAGCCACATATTAATCGGTTATTTAGTCTCTGCAATTCTAAGCCAAAATCCTATCCATTGTGAAGCTGATAGCTCGAGTAGGCAACATTGGGCTAATAGGTGCTGCATAGCCACCAAAATCAGACACATTGTAGATTTTTATACATTTGAATAGAGAATATCTATGCAATTCTGGCGCATTTTTTTTCTTGTAAATCGGTGGAGAATTGACTGAGCTACATCATTTACAAGTTTGGGCCATCTATAAGCAGTGGCCAAAACAGGCACCTTCCCAATTTGGCAGACTGTTGATGCTTTTTTTTACGGCTCAAACTTGTAAATGATGTAGCTCAGTCAATTCTCCACCGATTTACAAGAAAAAAAAATGCGGCAGAATTGCATAGATATTCTCTATTCAAATGTATAAAAATCTACAATGTGTCTGATTTTGGTGGCTATGCAGCACCTATTAGCCCAATGTTGCCTACTCGAGCTATCAGCTTCACAATGGATAGGATTTTGGCTTAGAATTGCAGAGACTAAATAACCGATTAATATGTGGCTTCAATCCTACGGGTCCAGAATTTTAATTACTACCTCATAACTATGTTAAAGTGCCCATTCTTAGGGGTGATCTCGACATAGGGGCCACAAATAAAATTTCTGAATCCGTAGATCGATTAGAATTCAAATTCTAAGTAATATCCTCCTACAAACCATGCTCATACGTGTTGTGGTTGGAAAGCTATAGTCCAATCTCTCCAGAGTGCCAAATTTGGCAGGGAAAACAAGCTGATTTCGCATTTTTGGAGCAATAAATAAAATTTCTACATGGAAAACTCTCTCAGTGGATTCAATCACATCATTCCCTCAAACCCAGTGCAAAAAATATATTGAATTGGTGTTGTGGAAGGTACAAAGTCCATGTCTCAAGAAATTGGCCCTGTGACGCTATGTCACGGCATGTCACTGGTCATCACACTTACCAAGGATTGTGCAACACCAACGTAAGCGCGTTGATTGTTGGAGAGCAACTGTTACTCTCCAACGCTCTCTCAAAACGCAGGCAGTATCCAGATACTGCCCGCGTTTTGTCTGCTTTTCATATTTCCTGCACATTGCTCTTCGCGTTTGCTCAACTTCCGACTCACTGGACCCAAGACGATCTATCCGCCAACTTTTCGATGCATCAACATGCATCATAGCCATTGGGTTGTAGTAGCACGAGCGGAGGAGGTTGCGTGTCGGTAATACCGATTTACGGGGTCATTCAGGTGCGTAGTCTACCTGAAGAAAGCAGACTTTTCTGCTTTCCTCGTTTCAATTTCTTCCAACTAACATTTTCGTTTTTAATGTTCAGAATTTGATGATGGACCTTCCCTGGCCCATTCGGCAAAACCAACTACAACGCCGCACACCCATCCCCGTTGGCCAATGAACCTGTACCCGCCTCTCGACGTGCACCCATCATCCGGCGTGCCCATGCCCATCATCGATGTGCCCACACCCATGATCCCACATAAAATTCAACTGCCCCACTCAGCTCGGTCCCCATCGCAAATGGCACGACCACCACCGTCATCGCCCTTGATCACATTCCTATGCCCTCCGCTCTACCTGTCCCTGTCGGATGACGTGCCCATACCCATCATCCGACATGCCACACCCATCACATTCACAACCCCATTCTGCTACATCCCCATTGCAAACAGTGCAACCCATCAACAAGAACACGACTGCCGCACCCGCACCCACTGCTCAACATGCCCCTGTCCTTCGACCACCCGCCATTCAAGGTACGCCCGCCGCTCGACATGCGTCCGTCATCTGATGTACCAAACTCAACCGCCCCATTCTGCTCCATCCCCATCACAGTATCACCACTTTCATCGCCCTCTCGTCACATTACCATTGCCAACAATGTGACCGCTACTCCTATCCCCGCCGCTCGACGTGCGCCCAACTATACCACCCATTGTATTTCAGCCACCCTTGTAGCTACTCGCCTATTTCAACAGTTATTTAATAGATATAATTCTTCATTATTCAATATGGTCCAGCCTCATGCTTATTTTAGGATGGTAGACTTTATCATATTGCACAGAATATTTGTACGGCAATTAATTTGAAGATGCAGCACCACGACGAGCTATATTGAGTATGATATTCCCAACTGTAAATAGCGGCTTAGTGAAGTGGTTATGTTGTGCAGTACGTAGCATAACCTCGGCCCTGTGCCCGAGGACATGGGTTCAAACCCTCAACTTGAAAAGAAGTTTTTTTTTTCAAGATGACCTCCAGACATAAGACATGAGCCGATTCAAAGAGGTACATCGTCCTTCTTTTTGCTTACGAAGCACGATAGGAATGAACTGAACCCCAGCCTCTGAATTTTTTTCAAATGTATCAAGCCATCCACAATTCTTTAAGAGAATTAAGATGCACCAGGTCTTGCACCAGGTAGGGCACTGTATCACAGTAACGATCCAATGAATGGAGAACAAAAATATATGCTATCCAACTTGATCTTCCAAAAATCAGAAGTGCAAACCACGACCTCCCAAATTTCGGATCTACCGGTTATCCAATCTGATATTACTGTACTAATACGACCATCTCTTCTGGCCCTTTTGGGCGTGACACATTTTGACCATCTCTTCATGACTTCAATATCCGATGTGATGTGTGACGAAGAGTATGAGCTCTTCGTCCGAACAGGGGCCATCGTCGATTTGAAATTTAAAACAATGTTGTACATGCAGAAAAATCTTAGATGGTGGGACAATTCTTGTTAGAAGTAGATGAAATATGCCGAGTGCTGTTTACATGGCTAGGGCGCCGCAGGCACCAGAAAAATTAGAAAAAATGGATATTTTAAAATGCCAGGAATGGCTTCAAAAGCCAGTGTGATGTGTGACATCACACTCACTTCACTTCCTTCAGAGACCTCTGTGATGCGTGATGCGAAGGCATGGTTGTATTAGTACAGTATTAGTGTTTGGAAGTCCGGTCTCGTGACTGGAAAAAGACTGTAACCAGACCGGACCAAGACCGCAAAAGACCGGACCTGCGGTTACGGTCTTTTATTTTTGAAATGTAAAGACCGCAAAAAAACCGGTTAACGTGAACCGGTCTTGACCGGTTTGGACCGGTCTTTTGTAGCCCCTTAAATACCCTTTAAAACGCACCCAAGAACGTACGATTTGGTAAAAAAACAAGAGAGATATGAATTAAAATGTAAATTACTTTTGGGAATAATAGATGTACCAGACTTATTTTATAGAAGCACCAATTCCTAACGGAATTTAACGTTCTTGGGCTCGTTTTGAAGCTATTAGAGATGTTAATAAATTTACCGATTCATAATTTTAAAATATTGGCCTAAAGACCGGTCATAAACCGGTTAAAACCGATGCAGACCGAAACCGGTCTATAGACCGCAAAAAACCGCGGTCTGCGGTCTTTTTGCGGTCCGGTCTGGTCTTTTGACTTCTGGGGAAAAGGCAGACCAGTTATGGTTACGGTTAGCGCCCCTGGGCATCAAAAAACCGGACCGAACCGGACTTTCAAACACTAGATATTATAAGCGAGAAAAACGAGTGAAGAAGTCTTTGACTCTCTGTCCGGGAATTGAACCCAGCTTTCGTGCAGTATTAATCAAGTAATGATGGAAAGCTCGACATCACTGACAGTGTGTGTACTGACTGACATACCATCAGCAAATCAGCATTTACCTTACATTACAATGTAAGGTGCTACAATGCGACCAATCAGCACTAATGTACTAGAATTCTAAGCCGACCTTATGTTGTCATCCACTGGTGTCAACAAATGTGGAATGTGGAGGAATAATATGTAAGGTTGTGCTAAGATTGGAAGGATATGGCAAACCTTCCACCATTTTGTTTGCCATGGAAGGTCACTCAATCATTGGTCCCCCACAGAAACTGCTCCCAGATATATAATCCTCAGACCAGCTCAAATGCGGTGAGGAATCAATTGGTATTAAGTATTTAAAAATAATAGACATGAAGTACATAAAGTAAGGAACAGCGTGGCCAATGAAATATTAATCTAAAAAGAATCGCACACGAATGCGAAGTTGGCCACTATCTGTTGAATAACACCCGACCTTAGAATTTCTGGTGAGAATTTAATTCGGTACACATTCAGCTTACCATCGTACACATCAGTTTCTCTCTTCAGTCACGCCATCCTTGTTTGAATACCGTGACGCTCCCTTCGTCATTCGAGGGTGATGGTGTGGGGCTGTCATCTGGTGCCCGCACTCGTTGCTGTAGCTGGGGTGGTGAGGTGAGGCACCCGTCCCCGTAGCTGGGATAGTGGTGCCATTGGTGGGTCATGGGCAGTGTGTGATCGTGCGTGCACTGTCATGGGCCAGTCATTTCCATGGGCAGTTTGGTGGGGTGGCGGTGAGGGCAGGACAGGCGCCCAGCCTTCGGACTCGGGTGAGCGACAAGGTGAGATAATCCTAAAGGGTCAGCGTCGAGGTGAGATAATCCTAAAGTATAAACAAAAGCAAGAAGAATGGGGTCTCGACTCACCAGGAGCATTCGCAGCCAACAAACACGTCCCACTGCATATATGCGCCTGAATACCTGTAATTGACAACATTCGACGCATGTAGAGCAAACTTGGCATGGAAAGAAGAACATACGGTATGGCCAACGACAGACCTAGTCTGTTGTAGTACCTAGTCTGTTGTGAATGCATAAGATGGCTGTGGATTCTCGCTTGAGAACCTACCTCAGCACCTCTCCAGTTTAACTTCCACAACTATGCTCCTCCATTCCCACATTGACGGCTCACCAAGAAAAGAGGGTGCTCCAAGCGTCCATTGTCATGAAGTAATGCAAAGTGAGCGAGTCGGCTCCAAGTCGCTGGGACGCACAGTTGGCACTGGGGATAGTTGTGCATGAGGGGAAAGTAATCACAGTGTAAGAATGAGGGGGTGGATGGGGGTAGAGAGGAAGGTACTTGATATAGTTTTCAATTGGACTTTGTCCTTATATGTATGATGTCACAGTTCGAACCATTAAAGCTCTGCTTGAACTCCGCTGGTCCAAGTGCCGGAGTTTGACGATAGTCACCGACGCTCTGTGAAGGTGGCAGCTTCCTGGGCTTGTAATCATGTTTCTCATCGAACACTAAGCTTCATATTGTATGCTGGTATGACTATACAATATGCAAAATAATTTAGCCTACCTTCCAATGTCATTACAAAAATGCCATTGACCTTGAATTTCTTCAACAAATTTGCACCAACGTTGGGAAGTGTCAAATAGTCCCAGTGTACATTCTATACTTTACTCTATTGTTAGGCTACATTGAAAGGTGATGCAAAACCTTGTAAGGTTTTGTGAAGCTTACAAAGACTACAAAGTGATCCAATGTTATTGTTGTTTTGCTGATGCACCAACAGAGATTGGTTAGACCTCGATTCTATCCTGGCTTGGAGTTTTGAGTACTTGAGTGACACCGTGACTCTCAGCTAACTGTAGCAGTGTGGCAGGCGTTGCCATGAAGCGCAATGGTTTATCTAAAAAAAACTATCAGTGCAGCATACACATACCAAAGAATAATAATAGTAATATGTGGAGCATGCATGCATGAATCTCCATCTGGAATTTGAACCTACTGTATGTGCTGAATAGTAGGGTGCACCAACCATGACGGCGGGTACAGTCGTTTGAACATGTGCTTTGTTTGCGCATGCGTCACATCTCAAGCTTCAACGTCCAACTTTTGTGTCCCTGGTTTCGTTTTCACTTCTGTGGAGGCTTCAGTGGAACAAAGGGCGGTTGAACTTGCTTTCTGGCAGTCCACTTGACCTTACCTGTGATTTAAGGGACACTAAGCACTCTCATTGAGACAACTTCCGCAATTTACGTTACTATGTACCTCCGTACTTGGGATGGTCTCCCATTATTCATGGGCTCCATTCAGGCTCCACAGATCACACGAAAAACGGTCGCACTGTGACTGGCATATTAGTCTTATATCTGGTGCAAAAGGATCGACTGTGCTGCTCGAAAAATGTGAGGCTGGTCATGAACTTGAAATTGCAACACGTGTCATTTTTTAGTGCATTATACTAGTTGAACAGGTCCCTGGTATGTTGGTCTGGCTTAAGCACGCCATTCATCCGTATTGACCTCTCTGCAAGCACCACCTGCAATATTCATCCCAGAGATGAGGGTGGTGTTTTATTCTGGAGAAGTGCGAGCATTGGGCCAGTCTCCCATGACAATTAATCAGGCATATTGCACTATCCTGCCGTTCTGTGATTTCAGAAGGGGTTCATTAAAAGCACAGTCCCTTTGTCCTCTTCGTTTCCCCTATTTCCTTGGTACCATACCCCGGAATGTCGAATCAGTTTACCGCAAATCCATTTTTGATGCCACTCCCCAATGAATCTATGCACTCCTGCTGACTGGAAATGGACCAAAGATGTAATATTTCCACTCTTTTACACAGGCCATAGGGTCCTTCAGTTTGGGGTGTTTGTCTGTTCAAATGAGCCCCATTAGGCATGACTCGAGGCCAGATTTCATCAGTACTCACTGCCATCAACCACTATGATTGGACTATCTTGGTGTTGAGCTCTGGAAGGCTCTGGATTGTCGCCAATGCACCATTGTTCGACATAACGAGACGGCGACAAAGGAAAGTGCAGTCAGGTGACAATGTCTGAGGCCACATCTGACAACACATGGGGGGTATGGCATTTATTCTGCACAAAAAATACACGCCCCCCAAATTGTAGTAAATGCCTGTATTAAAGTTGTTTGTAGATGTGCCGCCAAATAACAGCATGTGCCCCGCCAGATCAAAATTTTTTAAAATGACCTATTATACTATTTTGAATGCCAGAATTACATTTTAACAAGTGCCCCACACAATTTGGTGTTGTGGAGTGAGGTGCCCTGCCGAATGTCAAGGTGCCGCGTGCCAAATCAAGTTTGGACTTTGTCAAAATTTGACTGGGTCAACTATATTTTTGAGCTCAGGGGTAGGGCTGCGCACCGTGCCTGTCATAGACAGGTTGATGGATGGGTCTGACAGACAATTACCTGTTCCATTTGGGCTTGCTGAACACCTGTTTTTATCTGTCACATGATGGCCGTAATGGCCATCAGACGGGTCATTGACACATTCTGTGATTTTACCCACAATTAGCTGTATTATCTATTGACAATGTCTGAAGTGCTTCATTATTAAATTTTTGCATATCTCTATCACACTAAATGTCTCCAGGGGGGTTCAATTGCAGCTCAAATACAACCAGAATGGTGCTGACTCATCACAATTGAAACCCTGCAAAAGGTCTATTCACACCTCGAGCTCACGATTTGCTGTTTGAAGGTGCAAATCTTTATTATTCATGCTTATTACCTCTTCTTACATCTACCAGGTACCCAAAAACAAATGAAAAACTGTGAAAGGAGAATATACATTGAAAGGGTGGGCAAGCATCTGTACAACCCATTTATGGCTGTTTTTTGCCCACCCATTCCTGTTCTGGCTTTCGAGTTGCAAATTTACGCCCATTGATCGACAGCCGTCCCTGTCAAACGGACGGTGTGCAGCTCTACTCAGGGGGTGGGGGAAGAAGATTGAATGTACAAATTTAGTATCATTAGAATCATATTAGTGTCCTCTATCGATCTATTCATGTTACAAGTGTGATTTTTTGCATCAATCAATTGTCGTGTTGATTATTGATTCTGTGGCATCCTCTCCATGCCAGAATACTGGGAATGTCTGGCCCACTATCTTCTGCTTCAACACCTTCTCTCTTACTATGGCTATTTGATGGCTATCTGAGTCTTAAGGTCCAAGCACTTTGGGCAGATGCTTCAAAAGGCGAAGAGAAGTCTTCTGGAGCACAGGATGGCCATGTTGTCCAGCTTAAGAACACTTGCAACTGGAAGTGGGGCAACAGGGGTGGCCAAACTCCCCTCTATCCTCCTATGTTTCCGTATTCTAAGAAGAACCAAAACCCAGCCTCAATTAAGACATTGGAGCTCAAGAACTTCTCAACTACTGAACAAGCTATTACTCTAAACTTTGGTGCTGCAGCATTACAGGTGTTTTTTCTCTTGATTTCTTTGATAGACTAACTTACTTTTCTATCTCTAGATGGCTTATCTAACTCATTGCTCAGTACAGTTTTACAAGAAGGAACAATGGGAGACACCGGTCAGAGTGGTGCCTAAGAAAGTGAGTTTTTGCTTCTCTTCTTACTTCTCATCATGCTTACATCTCTCCACAGGAAAGGAAGTTTCATGTTGCACTTGGGATTGAGTTTCCAGACTATGTTCTTGCCTTCTTATCAAATGATCTCATCATTCAGGTATGCATTAGCCTCAGTCTTCCCTTTTATGTTCCTAATCTAAGCAAGCTTTGCAGCCTGTCTGGGCTTCTTCCTGTCTGAGCTTAGACAGCCTCCCCCTGATGTCTATAAGGACTATCACCACTTTCTACAGGGTGTTGCTAACTGGATTTGAGGGAGACACAATGTTTCAGCAAGATATACAAGACTTGCTATCAATGCAGTTCATGAAGAGGGTAAGGAGGTATTTTGTGGCATTGGCGTTTATACATCCAGTGAGCTCTTCTTTGTGGCTGGTATGTTCATTTTCAAGTCAATTGTTTCCTATGCTAAAACAATCATGAATCACTAGGTCTGTCACCTTTTCTGTGTGAGTTCGAGGTTTGATTGCCCTTCACATACCACGCGTCTATGTGAGGCATTTTGGAATCATGCTGAAGTGACACACAAGGAAGTCCTGTAAGCATATTGAGACCTGTATCAGCGACCCAATCTTGATTTTTTGTTACAGAAAACAGCTTCTGGGATAGTGTTTGGAAGTCCGGTCTCATGACTGGAAAAAGACTGTAACCAGACCAGACCAAGACCGCAAAAGACCGGACCTGCAGTTCGGTCTTTTTACTTTTGAGATGTAAGACCGCAAAAAGGCTGGTTAACATGGACCGGTCTTTTGTAGCCCCTTAAATACCCTTTAAAACGCACCCAAGAACATACAATTTGGTCAAAAAACGAGAGAGATATGAATTAAAATGTAAATTACTTTTGGCAATAATAGATGTACCAGACTTATTTTATAGAAGCACCAATTCCTAATGGAATTTAACGTTCTTGGACTCGTCTTGAAGCTAATAGAGATGTTAATAAGTTTACCAATTCATAATCTTAAAATATTGGCCTAAAGACCGGTCATAAACCGGTTAAAACCGATGCAGACCGAAACTGGTCTATAGACTGCAAAAAACCGCAGTCTGTGGTCTTTTTGTGGTCCAGTTAGTGTTTAAAAGTCCGGTTAGGTTAGGTTATTGGGTGCCCAGGGGCTCTAACCAAGACTGAGACCAGTTAGGGTTCGTTCCCAGACCCAAAATAACCTAACTGGACCGAAGATAACTGACCAAAACTGGTTAGTCACAGTTACTAACCAGTTAGGACAGAAAAAATAGAAAATCGATTAAAACAGCATATATTTCTCATATTTCTTGCACTAAACATTATTACCATGCATCATAGCTTTAAAACAAGCCCAAGAACACTAAATTTGGTGAAGAATTGACAATTTTATGATAATATTCTTGAAAGTCTACTCTTTTCACCAATATTTTAGAGATTTGACCATAACTCTATCAGATTTTTATCGTTTCTCATGCTTTTAGATGCGTTTAGAAGGGGTATAATAGGGTCGGTTTTAACCGGTCATAACCGGTTTTTTAACAGTTACTTAACTGCAAAATAACCGGTTATTTCATTTCCAGAATTGACTAATCACTAATCACAGTCCAAGGGGGTGGCGGAACGTGGATCCCGAACACTGGCTGGGAGGGGGGGGGGGTCCCACCAAAGGCCAAAAAACAATAATAGTGACCTGATTGATTTTTGTTGCAAATTGAGCCCAAGCATCAGCCAATCATCTGTTCTTCATTCTTGAATGTGACGTACCACATTAGTGTGTCATACCTCATACTACTCCCGACTCCACCTTCAATGCCCTTGCATACTCCTATACACCATCAATGTTTCAACGATGATGCCAGCCAGGTAATTCTGATGTCTGCAATTGTGAAGAGAGTGTAGGCCGTCAGAATGCCCATTGAGGCCAGTGACTCAACATGTGGATGATGAGGCAGGGAGCAAGGGCACCTTTTTTCTCATTAAGTACTCGCCGCATCCAGGCTGAATTTGAGGCTCCAAACAAGCTTCTGAAGCTTGTTTCAAGGCCAAATTGAGGCTCTTGATGGTGAAAGCATTGACAAAAAAACCTCTTGATATGCCATGAATGAATTTTCTATGTGACAATTTCGCAAGTAAATACACTGTTAACAGTCTGGGAAACTCACTGTGTTTGCTCAGGTATGTTCCTCTGTGAAAACCAGAGTATCTTCATTGTTATTTGAAAGTCACGGCCCAGGTTTGTGAGTTCTTGGTTTAGGTACGGACGGTGCAGGATTTTTGAAAATGCAGGACCATGGGACAAAATAACATTTAATAAAACATGGGAACTTAGAAAACATACCTTATATAGTAAGAGGGGGAGGGGGGGGAGGTCAGCCAAATCCACAAGAAAAAAATAGGGAGTGTTGGTACATTTTCCATGTTCCACCACCCCCTTGCCGCGGTCTGGTCTGGTCTCAGTTATTTTCCAGTTAATTAACCGGACCTTCAAGCACTAGGTCTGGTCTGGTCTTTTGACTTCTGGGGAAAAGGCAGACCAGTTACGGTTATGGTTAATGCCCCTGGGCATCAAAAAACTGGACCGAACCAGACTTTCAAACACTATTCTGTGACCTGCCATCATCAATGGTGTTCTTGCTCCAGATGAGACCCAGTGTCTCAGGTATAAGGGGTGGCTCCATGTCTATGGAAAGAACAAGACCCGAATACCAGTGCAAATGGAGGTATTACTTGATGAGTACAAGGTTAATTTCTCTCAGCACTCTTTTTCTCCTTATCTCCATTGTTCTATTAGGATGTTCTTCATCACCATCAAGATGTGGTGTGGTCTAGAGATGAGGTCATACTCTACAACGTCTTTGAACCCACCTTCATCAAGGGGGCTCTCCAGGCTAGTGTTTGAAAGTCCGGTTCGGTCCGGTTTTTTGATGCCCAGGGGCGCTAACCGTAACCGTAACCGGTCTGCCTTTTCCCCAGAAGTCAAAAGACCAGACTGGACCGCAAAAAGACCGCAGACCGCGGTTTTTTGCGGTCTATAGACCGGTTTCGGTCTGCATCGGTTTTAACTGGTTTATGACCGGTCTTTAGGCCAATATTTTAAAATTATGAATCGGTAAATTTATTAACATCTCTAATAGCTTCAAAACGAGCCCAAGAACGTTAAATTCCGTTAGGAATTGGTGCTTCTATAAAATAAGTCTGGTACATCTATTATTCCCAAAAGTAATTTACATTTTAATTCATATCTCTCTTGTTTTTTTACCAAATCGTACGTTCTTGGGTGCGTTTTAAAGGGTATTTAAGGGGCTACAAAAGACCGGTCCAAACCGGTCAAGACCGGTTCACGTTAACCGGTTTTTTTGCGGTCTTTACATTTCAAAAATAAAAGACCGTAACCGCAGGTCCGGTCTTTTGCGGTCTTGGTCCGGTCTGGTTACGGTCTTTTTCCAGTCACAAGACCGGACTTCCAAACACTACTTCAGGCAGACACCCAGAAGGGAGTATCACTCCACCACTTGATCTTTGGTTCTGAATGGAGCAACTTGGAGCTTGGGACGGCACTACTCAAGAATCAGGATCCATTAACTCAGGTATACACTGATTTAGGTAAGCTTGCTTTCCACAACACCCTCTCTCTCCTAATATCTCTACTCTCAGTCAGTAACCTATAGCTACTTTTATTCAATATATAGTTTGCTTTCTCTGTAACTTTTGGCTGAATCTTAAGAACAGAATTGCACTTCAAAGCACTCTGGATTGAACCAACAATCCATGCACCACAAAAGATCACACTTGTGACAATGTGACAACCCAGAGAATGGACTGTTTGCCTTTGTTTGCCTGGCCCTTCCAACATCGTTCAGAAGTCTCTTGCTGCAATGAAATATTTACACTACCACCGGTGCTTCTCTAATATACATAGATCAATAGAGGACATTAATATGATTCTAACAATACCAAATTTGTACATTCAATCTTCTTCCCCCACCCCCTGAGCTTGAAAATATAGTTGACCCAGCCAAATTTTGACAAAGTCCAAACTTAATTTGGCGTGCAGCACCTTGACATTTATGGCAGTCCGTTTGGGTAAGTATTCCCAGACTTCATGTGTCAGCATGCAAAAATGTACGTTGTGCACAAAACTATTTGTAGTGTTGCGCAAAAGTAATGTCACTGCAAGGAATCATTAGTAGGCAATAGCGCGGGTAAACCAATGGGTACCCAGCTGCCAACCTGTACCCTGACCCGGCGGGGTATGTACCTGACAAGCCACGGGTATGTTTACTATGGGTACTGCAGGTTAAATGCGGGTATGGGTACCCACACGGGTCTGTACTTGAATATTATGTACAAAGCTAAACGACAAATGTAACTAACTATATCTTGCCATGGTGCATCTTACTAAGTACGTCTCCAAGCCTTTCTAATTCAACCTTAGCCTGTACTTCATCGAGGACAGTGACAGCCTCCACATCTGAATCCTTAACCAGTCCAGCAAGGCTCCAAGAACCAAGGCAGAGAAGAGCGCGTGTAGACTGCGTAGAGAGGCGGCTTCAGGTGTGAGAGAGAATCAGGCACCCGCAGCTGAAAAGACGTTCGACATCAGTTGACGTGGCTGAATAGTAGTTATAGAATTAGCAATGAAAGAGATCATATGATAGTATTCAGACATACCTGGTATAGACAAATAATCGAGTGCCATACGATGAAGTCGAGGAAATGTTCGTCAATTTTCATACCACCAACGAAGCGGCAAGTGAGCAGTGGTTTCAGGAGGGGTGCTAAGATAGAGCCAAAGTTCGTCGAGCAACACCTTGGTCTTAGACGGCTTCTTGAGGGTGGAAGATTATTGAATATGTTCTTAGATTTCTGTAGTAGACGGTGAGAGAACGAAGGGAAATGAGATGAAAGTTGAGACACACCTTTTCAGGTTCCATGATAGACTTGTTGTCTTCCTCCTTGGACTCGTCTTCGCAGTCGGAATTGTGCACGTTCATGTAGGAACGTTCAAACTCGTCTGGAACCAGAGCCTTGGCTGTGTTGATCCAGTCCAACGTCCACCCCACTTGCCGAAAGTACTTGAGCTTGTGTTTGGGGTGAAGAACTGCAAGTGAACGATTGGTTAGACAGGTAATATTTGATCAATTTGGAATGCTTACCCATGGCGATACAATAAACTTCAGCGTTGTCCGTTAAAGAGTAATACTTGTTGAGGGTCTTCTTTGCAAGACAAAGGCCATAACGGATTGCAGGGTGAGTGTTGCTGTCAGGTTTCATGGCATTCGTGAATGTCGTGTTGATATGGTCGATGGCCAGGATGACAGTGGCTAAGTTCAGAGTGCCACGTGAAAAGTATTCTGTACAATCCTTGAGAATCTGCAAACGAAAGTCGCGTGACTGTGAGACTGAGCCACGCAAGCAAATAACGAGTCTACCTGTAATGTGTCTTTGAGCTCCACTGCGATCTGCCACTCAGTATCTGTTAGTTCATACTTCCGGAGGTCATTCTTGAGGTCTGAGGTAACATATTCAACGACTTGTGGCTACCACTTTTATGATAAAACTAAGGCAGTTGCCTACAGTGCTGTGTGTAAAATGCCATGGTTTTTTATGAAAAATCTCATATAAGGCTGGCAATTTGTCATTCTCATAATGCCTTGGATTTCTTTCATAACCCATAGCAAAGCATGGTGTAGGCAATTTCATTAGATATCAACCCTCTTTCATTGTCAATTTCATATCTTTGCAATGCATTTTTCATTTCTAATAGCCTGCATTCTCATTGCCTTTCATTTGAAATCCAGTGCGCTTTCATTGTATATTTCATTAGGTATTCTGTGCACTTTCATTTTCATTTCATTCTTGATGTCATTGCAATTTTTCATTACCATTTCTTAGAATTCTCATTAGGATATTTCATTGGGTCCTCTGGTGCTTTCATTACCAAAAACAATGATCATATCACATGGGTTGTTTGGGTTTGGGATGGTGATCACATGACCAATTTCCCAAAATAGTCAAAAAATGAAAGTTGTAGCCCTTTACCATAGCTTCCAGAATCTGTTTGAATTATGTTCTGAAGTGCTTCCATTATGGAGATATGAGGTAAAAGAATTTTCTCACTGCCGGGTTTTTTCAACCTTTTTGCATTTTTCTTCATGAAGACAGCACCAAACAATATGATTTCAACAGATTTAGAAACCTAAGAGAAGAGGCTGCAATTATTATATTGTGGGAAAAATAACCAAAAAAGGAAGTTGCATACCCTAAAAGGGAAATTGACACTGATAGACTGCCAAGGATTAATGATGGACCAGATATAGACTACAAAGTTTACTACCATGACTATAAAATAATACAAAAAAAGTCAGACACTACATATTTTACTGATAGACTAACTATTGTCCACTTTCAAGACCACAAAGGTTTGTAGTGTCCACTTTTTAAGACTACAAAAGTTTGTAATATCTGCTTTTTCAGACTACAAAGGTTTGTAGTGTCCACTTTTTAGGACTACAAACATTTGTAATGTCTGCTTTTTTGGAATACAAAGGCTTGTAGTGTCTGCTTTTTAAGACCTCTGAGGTTTGTAGTATCTGTTTTTCAGACTACAAAGGTTTGTAGTGTCCGCTTTTTAGGACTACAAAAGTTTGTAGTGTCTGCTTTTTCAGACTACAAAGGTTTGTAATGTCTGCTTTTTCTGCTTTTCAAGACTACAAAAGTTTGTAGTGTCCACTTTTTAAGACTACAAAGTTTTGTAGTGTCCGCTTTTTAGGACTACAAAAGTTTGTAATGTCCACTTTTTCAAACTACAAGGGTTTGTAGTCTGCTCTTCTGACATTTAGTTTGTACTGGCCTTGACTCTGTACAGTATATGATGGGGACATGACTGAAGGGTTGATATGAGTCAACCTTTTGCCATTGTTGCAACATTTGCATGCCTCATGGTTGTCTTTCATATTGAAGAGACCTATATCATCTTTTCAGACAAACCACCATCCTATCTCTGACCTTGGCTAAACTTCTGTTCATATCAGTAGCCACTGATCTCTGTCTGCCCATACTAGATGATTCCCATTCATCAGTCTTTTTCTGTCAGGAAGGGTGTCTAATGATGGTCAACCTTGACATGATTTCTTTGGAAGGCTATAACACTGAACACCAATCTCACATAATGACAGGAAAGATTCACCAGATTCTATGTAGGTTTGTTTCACTTGAATCCTGAATGAGTGTTGAAAAGGAGAGAAGAAGAGATTTAGTACCATTCAAAGCCTTTCAGGCAAGACTGATTAAGAAGACAGGGACAAACTAGTAACAGAGAAATATTCAGGATGGATACACAGAGACCATTGGCTACTGATGGGAATAGAAGTTTGATTGAGGTCAGACATAGGACAATGGTTTATTTGAAATGATAGTATAGGTCTCCTCAATGTAAAAGACAACCATGGGGCATGCAGATGGTGCACAATGGCAAAAGGTTGACTCATATCAATTCTTCAGTCATGTCCCCATGAACATATACATAGTCAAGGCCAGTACAATTTAACTAAATGTCAGGAGAGCAGACTACAAACTTTTGTAGTCTGAAAAAGCAGACACTACAAACCTTTGTAGTCTTAAAAAGTTGACATTACAAATATTTGTAGTCCTAAAAAGCGGACACTACAAACCTTTGTACTCTTAAAAAGTGGACATTACAAACCTTTGTAGTCTGAAAAAGCAGATATTACAAACTTTTGTAGTCTTAAAAGTGGACACTACAAACTTTGGTGGTCTTAAAAAGTGGACACTACAAACCTTTGTAGTCTTGAAAGTGGACAATAGTTAGTCTATCAGTAAAATATGTAGTGTCTGACTTTTTTTGTATTATTTTATAGTCATGGTAGTAAACTTTGTAGTCTATATCTGGTCCATCATTAATCCTTGGCAGTCTATCAGTGTCAATTTCCCTTTTAGGGTATGCAACTTCCTTTTTTGGTTATTTTTCCCACAATATAATAATTGCAGCCTCTTCTCTTAGGTTTCTAAATCTGTTGAAATCATATTGTTTGGTGCTGTCTTCATGAAGAAAAATGCAAAAAGGTTGAAAAAACCCGGCAGTGAGAAAATTCTTTTACCTCATATCTCCATAATGGAAGCACTTCAGAACATAATTCAAACAGATTCTGGAAGCTATGGTAAAGGGCTACAACTTTCATTTTTTGACTATTTTGGGAAATTGGTCATGTGATCACCATCCCAAACCCAAACAACCCATGTGATATGATCATTGTTTTTGGTAATGAAAGCACCAGAGGACCCAATGAAATATCCTAATGAGAATTCTAAGAAATGGTAATGAAAAATTGCAATGACATCAAGAATGAAATGAAAATGAAAGTGCACAGAATACCTAATGAAATATACAATGAAAGCGCACTGGATTTCAAATGAAAGGCAATGAGAATGCAGGCTATTAGAAATGAAAAATGCATTGCAAAGATATGAAATTGACAATGAAAGAGGGTTGATATCTAATGAAATTGCCTACACCATGCTTTGCTATGGGTTATGAAAGAAATCCAAGGCATTATGAGAATGACAAATTGCCAGCCTTATATGAGATTTTCATAAAAAACCATGGCATTTTACACACAGCACTGTAGGCAACTGCCTTAGTTTTATCATAACTAGTGGTTCCCACTAGTGATTCAACTGCCTTCCTATATTCAACTGCAAAGTTCAGCATGTCATAGGTGGAATTCCAACGTGTCGCCACATCTCGTGGCATGATCTGAACGGCAAGCTTCAAGTCTTGAAGACACGACTTCCATGCTGGGAGGAGGAGGGTGGTTGAGTTAACGAGAGCAAAGGCCAGTTTATGAAGCTTTACACATTGTTAGTAAAGGTACGTCTCTATCAATAAATTAAGTACCTTGACGAGGACACAACTGACGGGACGTATATTTGCAGCCAGAATCTGTCGCTCCTCATTGGTCATTTCATTTGCGACCTTGTCAATCCATTCTTCAAGCTCGTTCACGTCGTCATCGGTTAAATCGTCGTTGTCCTCAGTTTTGGCCATCATCTCATCTGCCATAGTGAGCTCTTCGTCGTCAATGCTTGCTGCCAAATCTAACAACTCCATCTCTTCAGCAGATAATTCCTCATTTGAATCGTTCCCCTCATCACCTTGTTTCTTTACATCAAACTGCTTCAACAGGGCCTTGCCGGTCAGGCTAAGGATGTGATTGAAGCAATGTGTGCGGTTGACATTTGAGTAAGCTGCTACTTCCCTTTCAAGATACTTGCTCATCTTATCCATGTTGCTAGCATTGTCCACAGTCAATCCAAGCATCTATGTGTACTGTCATGTCAGTCGATGGTAAGTGATCTGTGTTTGACTATTACCTTGTGCTGAATACCGAAATCTTCTAGGATCTCACCAAATGCGATAGTCATATTCATTCTGGAGTGTGACTATACAGTATTTAGTGAGAATGGAAAACGACACTCAAACTATCTCCTAACCATGGGCAGCTCGACGACATCGAGGACAATAGAAATCAGCGAGCCTCGAACCTCAAGATGTGCCGTGACAGCAACATAGGCATAGTGGTTGGGCGAGGTCCATGCATCTGTCACGAAGCTTATCTGGCTGGTGTATTCCTATTTTCCCGGTGAGTCATTCTTTGTTCACTTTGGTCTTGTCACTGACACTTACTTGAAGCATTTGTCTGATACAAGCATGTGTTCGCGGAAAAACAATATGTACGTCTCTCAATACAGTTGAAGCTGATGGGAGATAGTAATCCGGTCACCCTGTCTTCATCAGCGAGAGAAAACCTCGGTCCTCGACAATTTTGAAGGGGCGAACACTTTCTGACACCCATCGAATGATTTCAGCTCTACAAATCATGGTCAGGCAAGATATAAAGCAAGCTAAGTCAATTTTACTTACTTTGTTTCCGTTTTCGTATGTTGACGATGCCTGTAGGTGACTTTACCCTTGCCTTTCCAGTCGAACGTGGCTGTGATAGTCCCCGATGTTGTTAAAGGTTTGACGACGCTCTCACAAGCATCATTTGCATGTTGACAATCTTTTGCAGCCTCATATGCCACATCGCCCCAGCAAGATTTGACGTGTTTGATGAGGTTACCGGTGGATGAGCAGTCATGGCTGTCGAGGAAGTGCCAACACTTGTACACACAAGACTTTGCAGCACACTTGAAGATGTGTGCCCGCCACCCACTGACATACACAATTTCTGGGATGGGGTGGTAGAATGCATATGCCGGAGAGGTCCACTGTTTCATCATACAGTCTAAGCCAAGGTAAGGTTCAATTCTAATAGGTTAAAAGAAAAAACGTACTGACTTCAGCTTCCTCATCTTCAGAAGCATCCTCCAAAGTTTCGTCGTTGTCATCGACCTCAATCACGCTCACCTTCAGAGTTACTTTTTTGGGGGCAGGGACCTGAACTGGCTGTGAGATTGTGGATGAAAGAAGGTATGCTCATGTACCTCATCGTCGTCAACCTCAATGACATTTGCCCTTGAAGTTGCAGAGGTTTGTTCACATAACTTGGTCCCTGAGACACACAGCTTCTTTTTCGG